CGGAGTTATGCTCCAAGCATCCAGAGAAGATAGGACTCCCTTCAGGTGAACATAGAGAAAACAGAGGTGATGAAGAATCATGGCCAACACCAACAACAACAATCAGCCAGCATAAATGGGAGGAAACTGAAAGAAACAACCTCCTTCACCTACCTACCTGGGAAGCATCGTTTCAACTACAGGCCTACGGAACTGACGAGTATATCAAAGCGAGGATTGGGAAAGCAAGACAAGCTTTCATTACTCTTAAGTCTGTGTGGAAGTCAACAGCACTCATCATCAAAAATAACATCCGGATCTTCAACTCCAATGTGAAGTCAGTCAGTACTACTATACGGATCAGAGACTTGGCGAGTCATAAAGAGCATCTCAAACAAACTACAGACCTTCATCAACAGTTTTCTTCGCTGGATTCTTCGATCAAGATGAGGTGGCCAGAAAAGATCAGCAATATGGATCTCTGGCAATGAGCGAAACAACCAGGAACCGATTGTGAAACAAATATGCAGGAAGAAATGGAGTTGGATTGGCTGGCCATACGCTGAGGAAACCATCTAGTGAGTGACATCACTAGACAAGCCATTGGTCGAGTGGAACCCGAAAGGGAAGCGGCGAGTTGGTCGTCAGTGTGTGGGTGACTTGGAGGAGGTCACGTGAAGAGGAGATGAAAGCATGTGGGCAGACTTGGGGTGGGGTGAAAAAATTGGCAGAAAACCGAATGCAATGGAGACGTTCGACTGAAGCCCTATGTTCCTCTAGGAATTAAAGGATATAAGAATAAAACTTGTGCACTGTGGTAGAGTGTAATTCCATTATGGGTAAATTTTGTTTTGATAAAGTCTCACAGTGTTATACAGTAATGTTTACTGATAACCCCGTTTCGAGCACAATTTATTGCCACTCATAATCATATCAAGGTAATCACACGACTTCCTAAATTCATTTATATAGTTCCATTGTTTTTCTCTTGATTTTCACTTGATTTGATTGGTAATAGTATTTTCCGTATTTCGGGTATGAGTGATGAATCATTTCTATTGCATGTGTTGGGTGTAGACTCGATGATCAACGATTCAGTAATCAACCGCTATCTATCTCCACCTACCTAGATTACTTTTTAGAATTTTAACCCTCTCCCACCCTATTGTGTGGTTGTGTGTTAGAGCATGCAATTGCTGAGCTGAATAATTTAGAGATAAGTAATTTAGAAAAAAGCTCAGCAATTGCAATTCATGCGCTAACACACAACCACACAATAGGTTGGGAGAGGATTAAAAGTGTAAAAAGTAATCTAGGTAGGTGGAGACAGATAGCGGTTGATTACTGAATCCTTGATCATCGAGTCTACACCCAACACATGCAATAGAAATGATTCATCACTCATACCCGAAATACGGAAAATACTATTACCAATCAAATCAAGTGAAAATCAAGAGAAAAACAATGGAACTATATAAATGAATTTAGGAAGTCGTGTGATTACCTTGATATGATTATGAGTGGCAATAAATTGTGCTCGAAACGGGGTTATCAGTAAACATTACTGTATAACACTGTGAGACTTTATCAAAACAAAATTTACCCATAATGGAATTAAAGGATACAATAATAATAATATTAATGAAGCAAGAAAGTTGTGTGAGTAGTGACATGATATGATTATGAGCAGCAATAATTTATGCTCGAAACGTAGTCATAAGTAAATATTACTGTACAACACACTGTGTGATTTATCAAAATAAAATCTTATGCATAATGGAGACGGGGAGTATTTGATGGTGTACTTTGGTCAGAGTTTGCGTGTGTGTGCGTGTGGGGGGTGGGGGTGGAGAATGCATGTCGTATGTAATTTTGGACTAATTTTCAGTTTTACTTATGAAATTAGATATGTGTCTAGCTAATATGGAGAATTAACGCACTGCTATACAACTACAGATATGAATGATGTCAATGACAGGCAAAAAACGCTCGTAGATAATTGCCCCTCTCATAATTGACATTGAATTTTCTTTTCATTTCCTGCATATCGAGTAGAATTTAAGGCTCCAAGTTGTGACGTTTCTGTAGTAATGGTTTTGTTTTTGTGGAGAGTGAGGTTGCTGCCTTCATAACCGAGCCCCAGCTTCCTTCTTTCCGGGTTTACTATAGGTGAGGTAGTTTGGGAGTCATGTTTGGGTCAGATAGGAATGAAATTCCCATCCCGTCCGAGGGTGGCGACGATTCCACCGTTTAACCACCCACCGGTGGTAAAAAATGTGTTCGTTAATTTACAAGAAAACAAAAGAAAAAATTTCAAGTATTGGTTTTGTAGGGATTTTGTTTGATTGCATGGAGGATTTGATCATGAGCTGACATCAGTTAGAGAACCACTGGAAAACCTGGGAGTACTGGACAGCTGTTTCGTCCTTGTTTGGGACTCTTCATCAGCTCGCCTTGTAACCAGAAGGTCCTGGGTTCGAATCCCGGTGGGTGCATACTGCTGAAGAGTCCCAAACTAGGACGAAACAGCTGTCCAGTACTCCCAGGTTTTCCAATGGCTCTCTAACTGATGTCAGCTCACGATTAAATCCTCCATGCAAAAGAAAAATTAAACAAATTGCAAGACAAAATAGGAAGCCTTTTTACAAGAAGTAAATACAGAACCTACCTTTAAATTACAACTTCTTTGAGTATTATTGGCATGCTTTTGTATCACCTGCATAACAGCCTGTGGTTGAGTTGGTTGAGGGCCTAGTTCAGCTTCAATTTTCTTGGAGAAATGTGTTAAAACAATGTCAATATTCTGGAGTACACTCTGAATACAAAGAGAATAAGAAGAAAAACAGAAACAACAGCGAGATCATATTACATACTGTTTACAACAAAAGCAAAACAAAATAACTGTAAGTGGCGAGCCACCTAATGGCATGGTGGTCACATTGCAAACTTGACTGACTCATAGAATTCAGTCTGCACCAAAGATAGGACTAGACAGGCAGACAGACACACACACCTTACACTAGCTACTGACTAATCTCCAATCAAAAAAACATCCAATACAGTCCTACAGGAAGTCAATCGCGAGCCAGACTTTCTCAATGTCAACGTCTCTGACTGCTGGAGGCACTGGGTGACGCGAGTTCAAGTCTCAGAAGGGAGATGAGTTCCTCCCAACTGGTGTAGATACGCCTTGCTGATGAGTGCCAACTGGCATGAAACCTAGGTTCGGGGCTTCCCATCGATTGCCTCTAACCATCTATAAATCCTCTTGCCCAACTCACTCTTACAAGGATAAATATAATACCGAGATAATTGATTATGCTGCTTATTATTATTCATCGCCTCCATGTTACTCTCAGAGGAAAACAAGGAAAGACGATGAAATGATTATTATGATTATATCCTTTAATTCCTAGACGAACATAGGGCTTCAACCGAACGTCTCCATTGCATTCGGTGTTCTGCTAATTTTTTCACCCCACCCCAAGTCTGCCTACACGCTTTCATCTCATCTTCACATAACCTCCTCCAAGTCACCCTCGCGCTGATGACTAACTCGCCGATTCCCGTTAGGGTTCCCCTCGAATGATGGTCTGCATTGAGGAAGATGTCACTTGGTGGTTTTTTCAGAGTATGGCCAGCCAATCCACCTCGATTTCTTCCTGCATATTTCTTGCACAATCGGTTCCTGCTGGGTTGGTTCGCTCGTTGCCAGAGATCCCTGTCGCTGATCCCTTTCTGGCCGGCCATCTGATATTGAGTGAAGACAGCCAGCTGTTGATGAAGGTCTGTAGTTTGTTTGAGATGCTCTTTATGATGCGCAGTGCAAATCTCTGATCCGTATAGTAGTACTGACTGACTTCACATTGGAGTTGAAGATCCGGATGTTATTTTTGATGATGAGTGCTGTTGACTTCCACACAGACTTAAGAGTAATGAAAGCTTGTCTTGCTTTCCCAATCCTCGCTTTGATATACTCGTCAGTTCCGTAGGCCTGTAGTTGAAACGATGCTTCCCAGGTAGGTAGGTGGGTAGGTAAAGGAGGTTGTTTCTTCCAGTTTCCTCCCATTTATGCTGGCTGATTGTTGTCTATTGTCGTTGCTGTCGTTGTTGCAGTTGGCCAGGAATCCTCATTACCTCTGTTTTCTCTATGTTCACCTGAAGGGAGTCCTATCTTCTCTGGATGCTTGTTCTACCAACTTGTTGCTTTTCATTTGCATATCTTCTAGTTGAAATGATTAAACGATCTATTTCTCGTTAACAGACATGAAGTGGTCAGTATCTTCATCATTTCACCAGTTTTGTTCCTATCCAGCATAAACGTTCCATAGTGAAAATGTTTTTTTTTCATAGACCGGCAAAATATGTACGAGCGACACAATGATGGATGAGCTCCGACATATACATTCAGTTTTATTAGTTAATGGTTATTCAGAAAACGTTATCAATTGTCGCCGAAAGGATAGACCACATCTAGAAAAGACAGCTTGTATACTAAAGAATGCTATCTTTATTAACCTAGCATTCAAGGGTGATCAAACGATGCAGCTAGCCGACAACTCAAAGACTTCAGTCAGCCATCAGATGCACATTCTACACACTGCATCTCTTACCCTCACATACCGAATATTTTCGATTCCTGTACAGACCTATGATTAAAGGACAAAATTCTGTGCAATCTACTTCAAACTGTATCTACAAGTTCACCTACAGTTTCGGTGACAGACACACACCTATATAGGCAGAACCAACAGAATGTTCCAATATGGTCGTCGAAAAGAACAAGTTCCAAAATGGTTATTTAAACACACGAAAAATCCCAATGCAATTAATCTGAATAGAAATCCAGCATCATCATCCATTGCAAAGCACTTATTAATGTCAGGTCGCAATATCAATCAATATTAATGACTACTTCACGATTATTTCATCACATAATTCTAATCTAAGGTTATTATTAAAGGTGATGGAAACACTTTGGATTCAATCAAATGCATCCCACACTTTGTTTACAATAAACAATGGACTTCAACCTTCGCCTACCATGGACAACATGACCTATTTAAATATGATTGGTCATTAGTATGTACTTTTTCTTTTTTTATATAACTGAGTAATTGTCATGCATTTTATTTTATTCTATTATTATGAACCGTGTTGGTTGTAAAGCAGTTGTAAAGAAACTACGAAATGACGATATCATTTCGAGCAATTTGTCTTCTAAATGCCTTATTCATCTCTGTATTTCTTGTCCTAAAAGAAACGTTTGACTCCATCGGTGGATAGGTTTGACTATAAAAGTTAAATGAAATACATTTTATTAAAAGACTCTCAGTCACAGCCATTTTGTCAAAAAATAATTTATGATGACCTCTAAAACTATTAAATTATACTTGTAATATTTAGATATCATCATGAGCTGTAATTGGTTAACGAATCATTGAAAAATCTGGAAGTATTGGACAGTTAATTGTATCTTCCCGGTTTGGGACTATTCACAGTGTGTACCTACTAACGGCGGTTTCAACCCAGGACCTCCTGGTTATGAGAACAGCCCATAAACAACTGAGCCACAGGGACCCGATCCGAAGACGTTGGTTGCTGGTCGCGTTATGTCGTGAATTATTGGCAGAAGTTGGAATCACGGGCTGGTCATTGGATCGAGTTGGATCCCAGTGGCATCATGGTCTATGAGCTTGCCTTGCAAGTTCAAGTCGCCGCACTCCCTCCTTGTAGCACACACAAAGCAAGAGAAGAAAGTAGAAGAAATGCATAATAGAGACAGTAAACAGAGGTGCGAGTGAGACAAGGGAAGAGTAATAACGAAGAACAAAACAGTTTCATTGGAAATCATAAATCACAAGGAGTGGATGCATCTCCGCTAGCCATCACTGAGAACGATTTTAAGCCATCTCACCAACTGTTTCCAACCCCATTGGTTTTTACCGACCCGGGGACCCCAACCAGTCAGGAAGCCAGTCTACACCTTCCTACGTGACTGGCTTAAACTGACTGTTGTAGATTTCATTGACTGGTGAAGCCATGTTTTTGTTTGACCTGCGCTAGCTCTTTTCCAATCTGACCCTCTCTCTCAGCTAACATTGACCGTCGAGGAAGGCGGTGACTAAGCATTGATATGTAACACATGTCCTAACCACCTCAGTCGATGTAGCTTCACAGCCTCGTCAAATGATTTCCCCTCCCCACTCACCTGGCACTCGACTGAAGTCTAACCTCAATATTGCTCATTTATTATACCATATCACACGGGAGATAGAACGTAGGTACCTGTGATCAAAAACAGCCAACTGGCGTTTCATGCCTTGCATTCTCAATGGCCAGGTCTCACAGCCAGCCGTAAAGGAAGACGGAGCGGACTGTTGAGCTGTACATCCGCCCTTTGGTCGATAGCCAACCGGATTTCACGTCTACTAAGTCAGAGGTGGCGTAAACTGGCTCAAGCAAAACGAGCCTTCTTTATCAGTCTAGAGATTTCGTCAGAGGTCAACCCGTTAACATCGGTTGATGCAACTCTCCAAATAAGTGAAGTGGTCAACACGCTAAGCCACCACTTCATTCATTGCATATTTTTAAGCTAGGAGTCAATGTAGTCCAGTGATTCCTCTAACATCATCTTACATTTGGCTAGAGCGAATCGCATGCCAAACATTCGTAGATAGCAGCTCAAGGTATTCAGAAGACTCTGCTCCATTTTGTCTGCGTCTTCACCCACCCTAGAAGGAATATATCATCCACATGCATATTCTAAGTCAATGAGATCATCCCCCTGATGGTAACAAGTTAATCCCTGAGTCTCTGAAGTCAGCAGTTAGAGTTAAGTCCATTAGTACATCTATGATGAAATTGAATAGAAATGGGGATAATTGGCATCCCTGACGGACACCACTTGTCGCAGTTTCCCAGTACTCCCTGCTGGTTTTCAATGCTTCTCTAAACTGACATCAATCCATGGTCAATCTTGAAAATTTCAAATATTAAAATAATAAATACTTTTCTAACCTGAAAGGATGGATGTGACCGCAGTGGAGCAAATGAATCCTTCTTATACAACAGGGAATATATTAAATCTGTATTCGACATCATTGTATGTGTAATAATCGAGTTGATAATTTCCAACAGCATACGAATCACTTCTTCAAGTAATGCTAATTCTTGTACCTTGTTGTATAGACAAAAGACAGTGAAAAATGAAAATTTATTTCAATACAACATCAAACTGAGAGAAAAAAATAATTGAGGAATGATTTCGGTAAAGCGACTGACTAACTATGACAGAGGCAACGTTAAGTGCGAAACCTATGACTTGCTTTGTTGTCAAATAACATAATTTTGCCTCTTTTATTTCTCTCTTATTTGTATTCTATAGTGAACAACCTTCTTAAACATACTTAGCTACCTAAATTATTAACATTGGCTTACATTTTTATTCTTTATTCTATTCCTTCTTTTGTGTATCGGCTTGTTCCGACTATATTATCACTATGAGTATTACAAAATTGTCCTGTCATTAACCATCATGTAATATTAGTTTTGTGATTGTTCTTTGTTCGGCACTATTTAACTGACAATCTTGTTTGTGAACGCCACTATCACCATCTTAAAAAATTTTGCATTGTGCATGATTACTCACACTATCACTGCAAACACCGCATTAGAGCTGACAATAAAAAACCAACCTGAAATGTTTATTTTATGATTGTTTAGTGTAGTTCAATCAAATTAACTGATCATCTTGGCTATAAACATTCTTAAGAACATTTCATAACTTCTTGTATGATTATAGCTGTTACTGTTCACCACGCATACACATATCATAGCTTCCACTACCCGGTACTGAAATATTTTTTTCATTATTGGTGTTTATCTTCCTTTCTACTTCTTGGTATTTTCTCTGCATTTTTTTTGCCATTTTGTGTTTTTTGTTCTTGTTGTTTTTTATATTTATTTTTTGTAATACTCCTTTTAAATGTGCGATGAAATTAGATGCAATATTGTGGATATGTGCTGAAAATTCCAGTGTATCACTACTACTGTTTCTGGAATAAAGCAAATTATTATTATTTTCTCCAGATTTCCAATAAGAAACCAAGACAAGTATTGTCCACCAAGACGGTGAACGAGTTCGTCTTGTAGGAATGAAGATCTCAGGTTCGAACGCAGGGGAGTGGAGGGGGGCAGATAGGTATGTAGTATACTGAGGAGTCTCATACTCGGACGAAACAGCTGTCTAGTACTCTCCCTCCCCTCCACTTATCGGTAGTTCCCAATGATTCTCACTAACTAAATGTTAGATTAAGGTGTAAACTTTAAAACAATCCTATCTCTGCCTGTAAAGCAATACTCCATGCGAACAACAAGACAGTTTCAAAATGTGCAATCTATGATTTAACTTTTAAACGGCATCTTTTTTTTATTACAGCTTGATTCTACACCATAGTTTTTGGTACAGGTATGGAATTTTCAGCATGTGATATCGGTAGCCCAAATTTTGCATGCGGAGCAATGATATCAGATGTGCGTCGGCAGGGGATCGAACCTCGGACCATGTGCATGGTCGGCGAGAGTCCTAACCACTGTGCCACCGACGCACAGGAATCTGATTGATTTCCTGTTAGATGACGAAATGATATCAGTTGGAGCACTACTGAAAACTAGAGAGTTACTGAATAATTGTTAGACTTTAGTTCAGGACTCTTCAACAGTATGATGAACATCATAACTCCACCCGGGGATCGAACCCAGAAGTTTCACACTATTAACAAGTGATTAATTTACACTTTTTTGGCATCGGACTGTCTAATAAATAAGTGAGTATCATGTTTAAGCGATTCGCCCAATCCTAGAAAAACTTACGACTTGTCCAATAGATTATATATATATATATATATATATATATATATATATATATATATATATATATATATATCACAGTAAGACTTAAAATTGCGGCTCAACTTTAGTTGTGTTTTTTTCCCTACACGCATCGATATTGTAAATAACTTGACAAAAAAAGCGTCAGGTGGGGTGAGTTGAAGTGTTTGAACAGAAATCCTCACTTACCTTGTAGATGATACGTCAATTTGACGAACCGTAATCAATGAGAGGTCATCAACGATGGCTGCTAGGTGTACCGAACATCACAAACACCAAAATCATCAACCCTCAAAAACCTTAAGTATACGTAGACTGGATTCAATTTCGAACCAACACACTTCTAAACATTGCCAAGTTTACTAGCCAATAATGACACCGGAAGATGGGAGAAGATTGGCAGTGAGGTTAGTAAGCCCACTTCGCACCATAGAGAACATCATCGTTACAGAGAAATGTCAAAAGCTTGCACAACCCTATATTTCACTGAGAAATATATCATAGCCTCGTACACAGCAGAGAATGGCAGTCAAATTTCTACCTCAACTTTATCGACTTTGTAAAGGCCTTCGACAGACAGCATTGACCGAGAAGTAATTGGGAAACTACTTGAGCACTACGGAATTCAGTGTCCCGAATGTTTATCAGTCTCATTCAACAGATATAAATGACACTATTGAATGCCAAATGCTCCACAACGGGGAACTCAGGGAAGCCTTTGAAATGAAAACGGCAGTTAAACAAAGCCGTCCGCCTACTGTCACCAGTGATGATATTTTTAATTGTGGTGGACACTGAATCATGCGTCAGACTGTGGGGGGGGGGGACTGAAGGGACAAGAATACGTTAGACTGATAAGAAGACTCTAGAAGATCTGGACTCTTCCCAGATGATTTATGTCTAATGTTGCAAGAACTCGAAAGTCTACAGGTAGAAGACACAAACAGCAACGACAGGACTTCACAAGTGAACGTGGAGGAGACCGAGATGATGAAGATAACTGACCACCACCAAAAACAATAACAACAACGACAACCAGTACGAATCACTCACTATGAACGGGAGGAATTTGAAGGAGACTGCCACTTTGACTTATTCACAGGCAGCATGGTTTCAACTACAGGCAGCAGCACAGATGGAGATTTCGAAATCATGGCAATAAACTGTGCTCGAAACGTCATTAGTGAGAAATATTGTATCACACTGTGAGACATTGTCAAAATAAATTTTAGCAAAATGGAACCGGCCTTCATTACCAGGAAATCAGTTTGGAAATTAGCTGCACTCAACACAAACGACAGAATTCAGATTTTCAGCACCAATGTTAAATCAGTCAGTTCTTCAGCATGGAGCAGGAACTTGCCACATATGTCATGAAAAGCATTTCCGATAAGCTACAGAACTTTATCAACAGATGCCTTCGCTGGCTCAATAGTAAAGATAAGATAGGCATTGAGAAAAAATTACCAACAAGAGACTGTGGGAACGAACCAACCAAAAACGTATCAGATAGTTAGAGGTAATCGGCCACAGGAAGCTTTACACCTAGGTTTCGTGCTACTTGGCACTCCACTAGTCAGCAAGGCGTATGTGCGCAACCTTGAAGGAACTCATGTACCTCCTTCTGAGATTCAAAACCGCGTCACCCAGTGCTTCAGTCAGAGACGTTACCACTGCCGATTGCCTCCAAGTATCTAATATCATCAAATCAATGTGCACCATGATGGTGAGCAACCTAGAATGGTTGCCACATTGCAAACTTGACTGACTGACAGAATTCAGTCCGCACCAAAGAAACGACTAGACACGTCACACTAGTTACTAGTGTCCAATAAAAATACCCACTACAGTCCCAGAGGAGGTCAATCGCGAGCCCGAATAGCTCAGTGGTAACGCCTTTGACTGCATCATTGCATTAGGTGACGCGGGTTCCAATCTCAGACGGGAGATGAGCTGCCTCAAGGTGGTGTAGATACGCCTTGCTGATGAATGCCAAGTAGCACGAAACCTAGGTCTAAAGCTTCCTGTGACCGATTGACTCCAATTATCTAAAAATTTTAAAAATTCCGCCTACTCAGTCCAATACTTATACCTGATTCATCTTTACACAGTTATATTAATCTTTCCTCAAATATTTATAAAATTTAATTGGATATATTGCTCAGCAATTGATGTGAACAGTTGCAGGCTACTCACAACAACCCGTAATGCTCAAAAACTAGATTGACGTGAGTAGCTGCAAACACTAGTCGGTTGTTTATCTATTTGGGTGAAGTGGTAAAACATACTGGGCGTACAAATAAGCAAGTTCATCATCGTATTTCTGAACATCATTCGGCATGATTAGGCAAGAGACAAACAAGATCTATTCGTAGCTCTGTTTTAGTACACTTTGTAGATGACAGCCAGCATACAGTTGATGTGAATACAGTCGTTAAAATTATTCATCGCATTCCTACGAATCTTAATTTCGCTTTATGTGTTTATTTTCTATAGGCAACAGTTGAAGCTGTAGGAATCCACCTGAAGAAGCGAAATCTGTGTGATCAGAAAAAATTTGTACAGACACCATCCTCACCTTGGCCATCTTTATATGAATGTATAAACTGGACTAAATCGCCCTGAACCTTTTCCAACTTATTTTATTCTTATGATTACTTCATCTTTAATTACGAGTTATCATTGTCCATATCGATTAATCTTCCTTCAGAAAACAGAATGATTAAGTGAAGAAATATTTACTTTTCAATTAGATCCTCATCTCACTCTGGCTATACTCTAATATACACGACTTGAACTGCCGCATATATGTGCAAAGTTCTATGTCAAAAACAGACAGACAGACAGATACACGTATAGCATTTTTATTACAATACACAACAGTTTACCAATCATCAAGTGGCACTGATAGGTTTTTGTTGACAATAATTAGTCAGTGTCAACATGTCAGGGTGACGGGTGATAATTAACGAAGAAAATCAATACACACATACACAACCTGATGCTCACTAGTGAATGGCCTATTCAGGTAGTTAACCTGGGGTTCTAGTGGGAAGCCGTGACCAGTAGGGTACAGCAGGTTGAAGATGAGGCAGTAACTCATCGAAGAAGACGTTGCGAAGTGGTTGCGCTATGTCGTGAATTGGCAGAAGTTAGAATTCAAGGACCATTGGATCGGATCCCAGTGGCTTAGTGGTCTACGAGCTAGCTCGCCTTGTAACCAGAAGGTCCTGGGTTCGAACCCCTGTGGGTGCGTACTGATGAAGAGTCCCAAACTAGGACGAAACAGCTGTCCAGGACTCCCAGGTTTCCCAATGGTTCTCTAACTGATGTCAGCTCATGATGAAATCCTCCATGCAATCACACAATTAAAAGGTAGAAATGGTTAAAATAAATTAATTTTACACAGATAACGCGTAATCAAAGATGAAGTGGTCAAAATAAATAAAACTGAAATAATTTGGACAATTATAATTTTTATAATTTTAAAGGTTTAGGGGGAGGAGATGAAGTAGTCCGGTGTATACATTTATGTAATGATGGCCAAGGTAAAGAAAGTGGATGTACAAATTTCTCCTGCACACACAGGTTTGGCTCCTTCAGGTGGATTCCTATGGCTTCAGCTTTTGTATGTAGAAGACGAACTCGTAGAGTAAAATTAAGATTAGTAAGAATGCGACAGATAATTTTAAAGGCTGTATTAACATCAAACCTTATGCTCACTATCTACAAGGGGTGCTAAAATAGAGCAACGAATAGATCTTGTTTGTCCCTTGCTTAACCACTCTGCAGGATCATGTTCGGAAATACGATGATCTTCCTTCAACAATCTGTTACGTAAAATCAAATCAAATTGAGCACTCGCCTATTCCTTAATTACTCTTCGGTTTCACCAGAAATTACACAATATGCACAATCCACTTGTTGTACATATTTCTACCCTTTAAATTGTTTAAATTATCATCTATCTTGGTTATTAATTACCAAGTCCCGTGATATGCTGATATTGATTAATTATTGTTAACAAACATATCAGTGCTACTTGATGATTGGTAAATTGTTGTGCATTGTATTGTAAATGCTATACATAATATATTAGAGTAGAGCCAGAGTGAGGTGAGAATCTAATTGAGAAGTGAATATTTCTTAGTTTACTCAATACTTCTGCTTTCTAAATGTCTAAATGGGGTTGTGTGTTTCATTTTCTATAAATTGAAATAATGAATCAGCTTTATAAAGCTGAAATTCGATCACAGTTTCTTAATTTACAAAACTAAAATTATTTAGATCACAGTGTGTGATCTGCTCAATAAATTAAAAGACAACAGCTTTCAAAAAAGCTAGCAAAATAGTCTAATATTACATAATTGCTACTGATTGACTGATATATGAGTGGTTGGATCTCATTTATGTGTGTGAGAGAGAGAGAACCAGCAGTACTTCCTAGCCACATCTGTCTGTCTGTTTTCAGAAGAAGCATCAGAGATAGGACTTAACTCAGGTGAACACAGAGAAAACAGAGGTGATGATAACCCATGGCTAACAGCAGCACCGTCAACAATCAGCATAAATGTGAGAAGCATCGTTTCAACTACAGGCCGATGGAACTGATGAGGATATCATCAAAGCGAGGATCGAGAAAGCAAGACAAGCTTTTATTACTCTCAAGTCTATGTGGAAGTCAACAGCACTCAGCATGAAAAATAAGATCCAGATTTTCAACTCCAGTTTTAAGTCAGTGCTACTGTACGGAAAGACTTGACGCCGCGTTATGAAGGGCACTTCGAACAAACTATGGACCTCCATCAAGAGCTGTTTTCGCTTAATGCTACTCAAGATCAGATGGCCAGCCAGAAAAGATCAGCAACAAGGATCTCTGGGAACAAACCAATCAACCAGGAACCAATTGTGCAACAAATATGCAGGAAAAAATGAAGGTGGATTGGCTGGTCATACTCTGAGGAAACCATCTAGTGAGTGACATCACTAGACAAGCCATCACTCGAGTGGAACCCGCCGAAAGGGAAACGGCGAGTTGGTCGTCAGTGTGAGGGTGACTTGGAGGAGGTCATGTGAAGAGGAGATGAAAGCATGTGGGCAGACTTGGAGCGGGGTGAAACCGAACGCAATGGAGACGTTCGGCCGAAGCCCTATGTTCCTCTAGGAATTAAAGGATATAATAATAATAATAATAATCGACAACTTCAAGCGGTTCACCTGCAAGAGTGAGTGCATGTACAGGCTCCTGCCAATCTTGCAACAGTACCTTGCACTTAGACACACTTATCATCAACTGACTGAGTGCGATTTTGGCAGCAGCTTGCATGCTATCTCACATTAAGACAATATCGTCTGCATACTCGAGATTGCAGGCAGCTGAGACACACAGAGAGAGAGAGAGAGAGAGTTGAATCAATTCAAAATCATTCAAATTCTCCTTATCCCAGTATTTAGATCAATCATTGACTGACTATGCAACCACACTCAGTCTCCAGGAAACTAACGGTAATAAGAGGTCGCCAAAGATAGGAGAAAAGAGTATCTTATGTTTTCAGGCGAATGAGTTACACACACAACACATACTGGATGTTACAATAGGCCAAAGCAAAAAAAAAAAGAAGAAGAAATTAGATACACATACCATTTCCTCTTCTGTAGCAGAAGATGAATTAATCGATGTATTACTCAACAGTTTAGTGACTTCACCAACTGTTTGTGATTGATTATCATCGGACATTTTACGTAGAATATCGACAGTTTTATTATGACGTTTGATCAACAATTGTAGAAGACTAAAAATAAGATTTTTTTTAGAAATAAGACAGAGGCATTATATTTCATTCAAAACAGTATAAAAAAATAAACTATTAGTTACGAAATTGTAACAAACATAAAAAGTTGAGCAGACTTCAGATGGTGTTGTTTCTCGATAACATGGGACATCAATCCCACTTAAAATAGTATCGAGCTATTGCACAGAGGTGGTTTATTCGTCCTTAATACATGTAATCCAACAAAAAATGAACTTCAACTGATTAAAAATGCTCATTAATACTTTGTCAAAAGAATGGATACTGAACAAAGAGTACTCTATTCGATAACCCCTTTATCATCAGGCTCTACAGTTATAGATACATTATAGTGAATGAATGAATGAGTTAGTGTTATGAACAACATTAATGTTGCTGTTTAAATAACATCGACTCAATAATATTGATGGATTACAGCTCAGTAGCATGAACATAAAATAAGCCGAATGTCAGAAGAATTAGGAAAGAAAATAATATTACAAATTCATGAATTCATAGTTTCTACTGAAGAAGGCCAGGGTAGTAGTAGGGGCTGGACTTGCTTCTTTCGCACACAGAGCACTGGTTGTTTTGGAGCGAATTGCAATAGCCTCTGCTGTTTGGAGCCTGCGGTGCTTCGATGATTTTGGCAATTTATTAGGCACCCGGTAGATGATAGAGAAGGATTCTTCAACTCTGGCTTTGTGGCCGGCTTACACTAGATGGTCCAATATCAAAATGTTAATGGTTTTAATTACATCTTCGTGCTCGAGAACATCTTTCACACACGACCAGATATCGTGTGTAGTGCTCAACAGCTTTCTCCGTCTTCCTCTATGGCTCACGGTAAGACGTAGCCATTGAAAGTGGAAGATATGAAAGGGTCGGCTAACAATCTTTGATCATAGGTGCCTAAGTTCTATCTCCAGTGATAAGTGGTAGGTGTAATAGGGTGAGTTATATTGAGGTGATTACACTTCAGTCAAGTGGTAGGTAAGCAGAGAGGGAGAATCAATCGACGAGGTTGGAAAGGAGATAGTGGTAGTCAAACCAAAACATGGCTTCATCATCCAATGAAATCCACAACAGTTAGTTTTAGCCAGCCACGTAGAAAGGTGTAGACTGGCTTCCTGACTGGTTGGTGTCCTCAGGACGGTAAAAACCAAAGACGGCTGGAGACAATTGGTGATGTGGCTCAAAATCATCGTTCTAAATGTCTAGCGCAGATGCATCCACTCCTTGTGACATATAATATCCAATAAAACTATGTGGTTCTTCAATAATAATCTTCTATTTGCTTCATATCTCTGTTGTGCATTTCTTCTTACTTTCTTCTCTTGCTTTGTGTGCTAAATGGAGTGGGGCAACTTCAACTGCTGCACATCGGTGCGAAGTTCTACGCTGAAACCAGTCAGTCGGTCATTATGTTTATATTGCTTAAGTCAAAAAAGTAACGTTAGTAAACTGTAAGCCATGAAATAACCCAATTACCAATAAAATGGAAGTATTTGAAACCACATAAGGTGAAAATTCACATCACATGAGAAGCATAAGGTGACTGAGTGTCCACTTGACAAGTGTTCTCAAAATGATGGGGAACACACACACACCCAGTAAAATGCATAAAAGGAACACGTAATCCAGATAATAGTGAAATACTTAGTAAAAATTGAAGCAACTATGTAAGAAGGAAGGCGTTTTATATCAAATGATAGAATAATAGACTGCACCAATCTTTTTTGTACACAAAGTTTGCAGTTATATGTTGACGAATACCTAGCGCCTTCACCGGTGAAATGTAAAACACACCTTGTATTATTAGGCTCTACCTGGTGTAGATACATTTAAAAGAAGACCTTAATGGAGCTGCTCGGCCTGAATTTACCAGATGCTTGAAATTAGGCTAGTTTAATGACTTAACTCTTGGAAAGTGAGCTTTTTATGTGGTCAACACAACCAGCTGCACAGAAGCGCGTGAATTTATTAAAACACATAAATTCATTAATCATTTGCTGACTGTAGAATTCGTTTTATAACTCAGTCGAAAATGCTTTCCTCAGAGATCTGGATAGCTTGTTCTTCAGAATCTCGGTCGGCGTATCCCCTTTTAATTAAGCATTCATAAGCAATAATTTGATTGGTTAGATTTCATGAGTGCGTCGGTGGCACAGAGGTTAGGGCGGTCGCCGACCATGCACATGGTCCGGGGTTCGATCCCCGACCGACGCACTCCTTTACCTCGTTAAGCCAGAAATGATGCTCGTAAAGGGGAAAGGTTTGGCATGAGGCTAGCAACCCCATCCTGTAAAATAAACACTGCTACAGAAACTTCAAGTCACTAGCTTGAGGCCCTATGTTCCACTGGGAACGTGAAGGAAAAAAAAATATAAAAAAATAGATTTCATGAAGAGCTGACATCAGTTAGAGAACCACTGGAAAACCTGCACAGAGTACTGGGTATTTGTTTCGTCAGCCTAGTTCGGGATTCCTCATCAGTATGTGCCCATCGAGGTTCGAACCCAGAACCTTCTGGTTACAAGACAGAGAGCTCGTGCACCATTAGGCTACTGCGACTCAATCCGATCCAATGACAAGCGCATAAATTCCAACTCCTGCCAATAAATCACGACATAGCGCAACCACTTCGAAATGTCTTCTTCGATGAGTTACTGCCTTCAACCTGCTGCACCCTCCTACTGACCACTGCTCCAACCAGTCCAACAAAATTCCCTACAAAACCAGTACTTGAAAATTAAGCAATAATTTCTTTGGTACATTGTAGATTCTTTCAGGCATTTACTTTACACACACACACACACATTTTTCCCCTTAAATATTGAAAGGTTTCTAAAGTTGTAAAAAATTATATTTGTAAAATCTCAGCGATATTGAAATGAGTAATTCCAACGTTTCTTGTGTTCGTCAATCTGGTCCGAACTTCTTCAGGGAAATTAATCGAAATTAACATAACTTCTCACTCGGCGCCCAAATATTATAGAACTATTCTGTCAAATCTTGACTACAGTTCATTTGATTTATTTTGTAATCGAATTAAATTAACAAAGAAACTATGTAATTGGCACAATCATCGTGTTTCCACTCTCCGTTGTCTACAACAGAATGCGTATCCTAAATTCGTAGCTGTCCAGTCACCTGACAACTTCAGTAGGTCGAATAAAGCAGCTCAATTTTCAGAAAGAAGACAAAGTAATAAGTTTGACGGGGTTGTTCAACTAAACTCTAATCCTAAACACCATAATTTTGAAAATACGTCTAATCATAAAATTCTAGATACTAACAGTTTGAACAGATATGAAGGTGTGATGTTAGATGACGCATAGGAAATCCTGATTAATAAATAAGAATGGATATGTATCACTAACTAATAATACTTGGTCAAAGTTTCCCGACTGTCTATATCTACTTATGGAGACGTTCAGACATTGTTTTACAACTGTTTATCCACACACACACACATACACACTGTGTTTAAAGTGTTTAACAAATGTAGATCAATATTTGTAAGTCTGAGGTCAAATTTTGATCACAACTCGTACAATTTTGTTTATTATACTTGTTAATATTTGTTTTATGAATCATGATAGGACAAAGTTTTTAAAAACAAAAGATGCTCCTTTTATATATAAACCTGTTATGTTAATTTCGATTAATTTCCCTGAAGAAGTTCGGACCAGATTTCCGAACGAAACGTTGGAATTACTCATTTCAATATCGCTGAGATTTTACAAATATATTTTTTTACAAATGTCTACTTCTCACTCGGCGCCCAAATATTATAGAACTATTCTGTCAAATCTTGACTACAGTTCATTTGGTTTCTGAAGTTGGATAAGGATTTGTCTCAGTTTCTGAAGATAAGGGACATTATTATGTTTCTACACTTGTATATGATGGAGGGTGCTAATGACTCGTCAATAAAACTGTAGACTATGGGTACAGAAAAGCTGTGTTCACTTTCTTATTTAATAATCACGGTTTTAAATTTCCTTCTACTTGTGTTTGTTTCTACTTTTAAAAGGTGATTCCCTATTGTCATTCTTGTATATCACTTTTGTGCAAATTTTCACCAAGTTTTTATTCGCACCTTCTTTACACTTGTGTCAAAGTGGAAACACACTCAACCACTTTATGCACTCTACTCAATCTAATCATAATGCTCACCCTACTAAATTTTAAAAAAATTACTTCGATTATATGGGCAATTATGATAAGATTAATTTCTTTCTGTCTTTGATTATGGCTACCTGCGTTCTATCTATCGTGTTAGGTGGTACGTGTAATGTGGTGAGTAATATTGAGGTGGTTAGGCTTCGGTCGAGTGCTGGGTAAGGGTAAGGAGGGAGGGGAAATCAATCGACGAGACTGTGAAGTTCCATCGATTGGGTTAGATGGTTAGAACATGTGTTACGCATGCCTGGTCATCACCTTTCTCGACGGGTAATCTTAGCTGACATAGATAGAGTTAGTTTGGAAAAGAGCTAGTGGTGGTGAGACTAAAACATGGTTTCATCAGACAATGAAAACCATAATACTTAGTTTGAGCCATCCAGCTCTACGTAGGGAGGTGTAGATTGACTTCCTGGTTGGGGTCTTCGATATGGTAAGAACTAATGGATGGAAACAGATAGTTGGTGATATGGCTCAAAATCCTCATCCCCAATGATGGCACAGATGTATTCACTCCTTGTGATTTGTCATATCCAACAGAACTATTGTTCTTCCATATTACTATTCTTTTCGCCTCATATCTCTGACTACTACCTATTTTGAATCTCTTCCTTTATCGTCTTCACATGCTTTGTGTGCGCTACATGGAATGTGGCGACTGGAACTGCTGCACATCTGTGCAAAGTTCTACGTTGAAATCAGTCAGTCGACTTCTTTCTAGTTTGGAAATCATCGGAACTAGGCATTCACCAACACGGTTCAAACCCAAGACCATTCAGTTGCCAGGCAATCCTGAATACCATTCAGCCACTGGGAGGACCCAATTCAATGGCTAGTCCATAAATTATAACTTCTACCAATTCGTGATTTAGCGCTACTAGCACCAATTGAGGTCATTGGTGAGACATCCATCCTCACACTTGACTGGTTGGACCTCATTGGTCACGACTTCTCACTAGAACTCACTGCAGGAAACTCTGTCCTGTAGCTCAGTCACTCAATAGAGAGTAATCAGATTAACTTTCAAGAGTTGGTTCGTACAGAGTAGATTTGCTTTTACGAGTTGGATCACGGATCGACATCAGTTAGAGAACTATTGAGAACCAGTACTGGACATTTGTTTCATCCTAGTGCTTTGGAATCACTGGCAGTACACACCCACTGGGGGTACGAACCTGGTTTTTAATGGTTCTCTAACTCTGATATCGATGCGTGGTTAAACTCGTACAAACAAATCTGATCCTTAAAAACCAACATTTGAAAATTTCTTTCTATCTGCTTCTGAGTAACTGTACAGTCGCTCTCTCCATCTAATTGGTGTGTACAGTGGTGTCTGTCTGTTTTCGACATAGAACTTTGCACAAATGTGCGGAAGTTCAAGTCGCCACACTCCCTCCTTGTAGCACACACAAAGCAAGAGAAGAAAGTACAAGAAATGCATAATAGAGACAGTAAACACAGGTGTTAGACAAAGGAAGAGTAATAACGAAGAACAAAACAGTTTCATTGGAAATCATAAGTCACAAGGAGTGGATGCATCTGAGCTAGCCATCACTGAGAACGATTTTGAGCCATGTCACCAATTGTTTCCGACCATTGATTTTTACCGTCCCGAGGACGCCAACCAGTCAGGAAGCCAGTCTACACCTTCCTACATGGCTTAGACTAACTGTTGTGGATTTCATTGACTGGTAAAGCCATGTTTTTGTTTGACCTCCGCTAGCTTTTTTCCAGCCTGACCCTACATCCGCTAACATTGCTCGTCGAGGAAGGCGATGGCTTGGCATACGTAACACATGTCCTAACCATCTCAGTCGATGTAGCTTCACGACTTCGTCGATTGATTTCCCCTGTTTACCTAGAACTCGACGCCTAACCTCAATGTTGCTCACCTTATTATGCCACTTTACACGGGAAATAGAACGCAGGCACCTATGATCAAAGACAGCTAGTCTTTTCATGTCTTCCACTCTCAGTGGCCAGGTCTCACAGCTGGCCATAAAGGAGGACGGAGCGGACTGATGAGCAGTACACCCGCCCTTTGGTCGATAGTCGAACATCTCGTCTACGCCAGAGTCGGCGTAAACTAACAAATGCGAAACGAGCCCCCTGTATTTGTGCTGAGATTTCGTCAGAGATCAACCTGTTGGCACTGGCTGATGGTACTTCCCAAATAAGTGAAGCGGTCAACGTGCTCTACCACTTCACTTCCTATTTTTAAACTAGGCGTCGATGTAGTCCAGTCCTGTAACATCATCTTGCATTTGGCGGGAGCGAATCGCATGCCAAACATTCGTAGATTGCAGCTCAAGGTGTTTAGAAGACTCTGAATTTTGTCAGCGTCCTCATTCCATTCTTTTCAATAATTTCTCTTCAGGTTCTTACAATTATAAAATATAATATATTTGTGGTCGTTATAATAAAGATAGCCAGGTATGCGGCGGATACATTTTTAACGTAGAATAACAGATTAGCGGTTATGGGGTGTCAAAATAAATAGTCATATTTGTGACAAACGAGCTAGGCTGAAATCGATTAGAAAATATTGTAAAACATGAGACTATGGTGGTGATTAATCATAATAGAATTGTAGAGTGTGGGGTAGGAAGATTGACAAGTTATTTCAAGGTTATAAAAGGTGTCAGGTGAGTGGCTAGTACAAAGTGGTCTGAGTTAAACAGGAAATAGTAAGACTGCAATGAGAGGTTCATAGTGAGATAACGAATACGTTAAATGAAACACGTGGAGGCATATATTGAGAAAACATATAATATCACTAATAAAAAGTCCGTATAAATGAAAATTCGATAATTTTGAGGGAATGTTTGCATAAAGGGAATAAATTATGAATAATAATAATAACTGTAATAATAATATTTATAATAATAAGCAAAGTAAAAAAGAAAAAAAGACCAAGAGGGTTAAGGGTAAGGAGCACCTCCTGGTGCGAAGAAAAATCTTCAATCCAAGGTTGGCCACGGTAGAGACGGCGTCTGAACGTGTTCTTTTTGGATACAAAGTTCCGGTTTAGTCGATCTTATTGCAACAGCTTTAGCTATGTGTAGGAGACGTAAGCGAACTGTACGTGATAACGACTTTGGAATTCGGTATATAACCCTGAAAGCTGTGTTGACAGCGATGCGATGTCCAGTATCGACCAAGTGTGACAGGATCGAGCTTTTTATGCACTTAATTTCCCCCTGCTGAACCAAGCTGGTTAGTGTTCTCGAACCCGTAGACGAACCTGCCTAATCAGATTGACTTTTAATTCATAATACGGGAAAATATTTCACACTATCAAATTTTATTTTTACAGCCTCATGCCCGACCTTTCCTCTTTACCAGCTTTTATTTCTGGCTTAGTGAGGTTCAGGGGTGCGTCAGCCGGGGGTCGAACCCTGGACCATATGCATGGTCGGCGAGCATCCTAACCGCTAAGCCACCGACGCTCAAACCATATATATATATATATATATATATATATAAAATAAATAGTTAGAAATAGGATAAGTCATATTCCACTTACTTAACCAATGTATCACAAGCATAAGGATGAAGTTTAGTTATTCGCGGAGATAAGTTAGCCAAAGCTGCCAAAATATTCACATGAAGATATTTGTCCTAAAGTGTGATAGTTTTTTTTAATGAAAAAATAATAAGGATACATATATGAAAAATGAACTTCATTGATACGGCAGGAAGATGTTTGAAACCAAAGCAAAATTCAACGCATAAAATCAACGATATAAAATTTCAGAGTATCTTTCATTGTGTTGCGTGACCACAGAGTCCAGGGGACAACTGCTTGGTGCTGACCGGTCACATACGGCCTGTATGAACTGGTTTCTTTGTTTTGTTCCGTATTAGTAAACTTACCGCCGGTTTCTGACCACTGTAGGTGAGGTAAGTCGGGATGTAAAATTGTTAGGGTCGACCTTTTCTAACCCTCTCCCTCCAGAGTGGAGAGACAGCATAGCTGGGTAGCATGCTGGTCATATGAGGGAAACACCTCACTGCTGTTGCACTCCTGTTCCCCAGCAGTACGACTTTCTTTGACGTTGATTGAACTGAAACATAGAGAGAGTATCCATGTTAGACAACCGTAGAATTCAACGGAGAATTTCAATTACACACTGCTTGTTTCCGGTTGTTTTTAGAGTTGTGTTCGTATAGAAAACTTAACTTCAGACTACAAAACTACACAATGTAAGTCAAGATGTAGAATTTGTGGGATCACGCTTTTGTGAACTCCCTCTTAAGAGCAGAAAAGAAGAGAGAGGGAATTATCGAATGGCTTGTGTAACACACTCCTATTCGCCAACAGCATACAGCTTGGACGTTAGACCGCTAACACAGTCTACACAACTTTTATCCTAACCGCTATGTAAACAAACCATCTTTCTGACAAAATAGTAGGACCTGGAGTAACATTCATCCCAGCCAGTGCAGCTTGTTGGTTCATTGTGCTTTGTAACTCCCTGATCAGCTGACTATTAGTTAACTTATAAGGAATTATACTTTTGAATTTTCCATATTAGGCACGACATTATCTAGTACTATATTTGGTGGGAATTAGTCCAAAGCTGAGATTTAATCAGGACTATTGTGTATCAAGGCTAACAGTAGCAAGGATCAGTTTTTAATTGGCGGTTGAAAAACATTCATTTGTACCCAAAAACATACAAATGATTACAGAGGTACATGATATTGTTATGTACGATAGAGTAGAAAAGATTCGACTTGCATATCACGTGAATATGAGTAATATCTAGCGCTACTAATAAGCTCTGCGCAAAACCCCGATCGATAGCTGCTACCTCAACGTGGTGGTCAGGCTTGCACATCGCGATGACCCAACAACCTACATTCGCTGGAACCAATGTTCCTGCACGTCCTACCATGCCAGGAAATTTGTTAGGATACCGATTAGACGAAAAGCAGTTACTGGCATTGTGTAAGTATCTTCCTTACACTATGCTGAGGGTCTGAGGGTGAAGTCGGACTTCTGGGGAACAGGGATGTAACAGCAGTGAGTTGTTTCCCTCAGATGACCAGCATACCAGCCAGCTATGCTGTCTCTCCACTGAGAAGAGAGGCGGTTAGAAAAGTTCGACTCCAACAACTTCGAAACTTGAGTTTTATAGTTTTTTTTATTCATTCCTATTCGTCGTTGTAGAGGTAGTAGAATTCTCCATATGTCTGGCTGGAGAGGTGTTGAATCATTCCTATTATACATATTTTCATTCAGTTGAATCGATGAATAAACTTTTCGTTATTAGTCTCTCCAGACAGAAGCCCAGAAGAAGCATTGAAAACGGACCCAGAGACATCAGCCATCGGACTTGATGACATCACTACTGGAAAAGGTGTGGAAAGAGGGCCAGGTGCCTACTGCGGGTTTGAACAAAGGCTACTTATTCAAAATGCCAAAGAAAGAGGACTTAGGTCAATGCAAGAACTGGCGCGGAATTATGCTCCTGTCCGTCCAAAGCAAAATACTAAGCCACAACATCCTGGAGAGAATCAAGCACGCCGACCTGGATGAAAAACTCCGACCGGAACAGGCTGGATTCAGGAGGAGCACATTCATGCATCGATCAAATCACAACACTACGGATCATCATCGAACAGAGCTTCAAATGGCAATCAGCTCTCTATCTCAACTTCATCGACCTTGAAAAGGCCTTCGACAGCGTCGATCGAGAGGTGATTTGGAAACCACTTCGCAACTACCACGGGGTGCCACCGACAATTATACATCTCACCCAACAGTTGTACGACAATGCTGCGTGGCAAGTAATCCACAACGGGAAACTTGCGGAATCCTTCGAAGTAGTGACGGGAGTTAGACAAGCTGGCTGGCTGTCTACTATCTCCAATGATTTTCTTGATTGTAGTAGACTGGATAGTGCGACAACAACACAGTGGGCAGCGAGGAAACAGGCACAAAAAACTTGGAGGATTTGGACTTCATCGATGTCATATACATGTTTGATTTCCCACAAACTGGGAGATATGCAAGTGAAAAGCAACAAGCTGGCACAAGAAGCATCAAAGATAGGACTTAATTCAGGTAAACATAGATAAAACAGAGGTGATGAAGATTCCTAGCCAACACCAATAGCAACAACAACAGACAACAACCAGCCAGCCAGCATAAATGGGAGGAACCTGAAAGAAACAATCTCCTTCTCCTACCTACCTACCTGGGAAGCATCGTTTCAACTAGAGGCGGACGGAATTGACGAGAAGTCCCTGGAAGTCAACAGCACTCAGCACCAAAAATAAGATCCGGATTTTCAACTACAACGTGAAGTCAGTCACTGCTACTCACCATACCGATCAGAGACTCGGCGCGTCATAAAGAGCACCTCAAACAAACTACAGACTTCAATAACAGCTGTCTTCGCTCATTACTTTGCTCAAGATCAGATGGCCAGCCAGAAAAATCAGCAATAGGGATCTCTGGCAATGAGCGAAACAACCAGGAACCGATTGTGAAACAAACATGCAGGAAGAAATGGAGATGGATTGACTGGCCATACTCTGAGGAAACCATCAAGTGAGTGACATCACTGGACAAGCCATCACTCGAGTGGAACCCGAAAAGAAAGCGGCGAGTTGGTCGTCATTGCAAGGGTGACTTGGAGGAGGTCATGCGAGGAGGAGATGAAAGCATGTGGGCAGACCTGGAGCCGGGTGAAAGAGTTGGCAGAAAACAGAAGGCAATGGAGGTGCGCAGCTGAAGCCCTATGTTCCTCTAGGAATTAAAGGATATAATAATAGTTATATTTTTTAATATCGGTATGACATTTTATGCACATCAATGTGATTATGATTAGTTGATGGCATTCAATGATGAGGTTATTTTAGAGAATGCAAAAAAGGAACACACTCACAAACACAAGGACGGACGGACAGACACACACGCACACAGACACACTACTATTATTACTCACTTTTAACTGATTCAAATGATATTGAATTGTACGACAAAGTACTAGAACAGTTAAACTTCCATAAGAAACATTCGATAGTCGACGATTAGCTGACCATTGAACCCATTTAATCTCCTAAATAAATAAATTTAAAAAATATTACATTTATAAGAAGGGTTATCAAAAAAAAGTTACGGAAGTGTCGTCAACCATATAGCTTTACCAATCTAATCAGTTCCCCAAAAAGGATGTGTTACATATCCTTGCCGTTCAGAGGTGATCACAACAAAGTCTAGTCATCACTAGACAAAGACTTAAGACCCCAATTAATAGAACCTATTATGCAGCTGGTAAAGAGGAAAGGTTGGTCATGAGGCTGGTTAGCAACCCCATCCTGTAAAAATAAACACTGCTACAGAAACTTCAAGCCTCTAGCTTGAGGGCCTATGTTTCACTGGGAATGCGAAGAAAGAAATAAAAAGACGACAGTGACAGATAAGGGCCCTTGTTTCGCAAGTGAAGAATTCACACTCCATTTGCAGTAACTAGGTATTAGGTGAGTTAAAGCAACATTATACCCTCGGTCAAATCTCTCGCATTGATGGTGATTGGTGCTAGTTGTTGTTATCGTTGTTTCCGCTGGTTGGTTATTTTCATCACCTCTGTGTCTTGTCCATGTTCACCTGGAGTCCTGTCTTTTCTGCCTGACTCATCAGCCAGTTTGTTGGTTTCGCCTGTGAGTCTTCGAGTGTGTGTGTGTGACATTAAACATAAATCATCCACGCGCGAAATCCAGATCATCCAAAATCTTCTTATCGGTCAATGCAGTGTATTTCTGTCTTCTTATGCTCCATGTCTTGTGTAACTTCTAATCTAGTTCACCACAATTAGGAATATTATCGTGGACAATGATAATAGACAGTCGTTTCCTACTCCTGTATTCAGTCACTATAAACGCCTCGCTGAGTTTTCCGTTGTGGATCACCTGATAGGTGGTATTGTCACACAGCCAGATGTTGAATTGGGTTGGTAAACACCTAAGGCACGCCGTGGTACTGTCTGTCTGTCTGGATTCAACATAGAACTTGGCACCGAAGTACACCAGTTCGAGTTGCCACGCTCCAAATACCACACAAAGGTAGACAAGAAGATGAGTGAAGAGAATCAATACAGTCTGACAAGTATAAGAGTGAAACAGAATGGCTAATGGTAGAAAGGAATATGAAAGATTACAGAGACTGAATACATCTCCGCTGGCCATTGACAACGATTTTGAGTCATGTCACCTATTGTCTCCAGCCATTGATTCCTAGAGTCCCGAGGGCCCCAACCCGGAAGTCTGCATCTCCCTACCTTCCTGACTCAGTTTAACTGTCAAGGATTTCATGGATTGATCAGGCCATGTTTTTGTTTGGCCACCACTTACTCCTTTCCAAACTGCACCTATATCAGCTAGTAATGCCCGTCGGGGGAGGCGATGGTTAGGCATGCGCAGAACGTGACCTAGCCATCTCAGTCTATGTAACTTTATAGCCTCGTCGATTGATTTTCCCTCCTTGCCCAACACTATACGCCTAACGTCAATATTACTTACCTTGTTAAACCATCTAATGTGAGACAGACATCGCAGACATCTATGATCGAAAGCAGTCAACCTTTTCATGTCTTCAACTCGTATTGGCCATGTTTCAGAGCCATAGAGAAGGACGGAGCGAACAACTGAGCAGTACACACGTCCCTTGGTTGATAGCCGGATATCACACCTACGCCAGAGATGGTGTAAGTTGGCGAAAGCAGCTCGAGCTTTTTGGATCCGTGTCGAGATTTCGTCACCAATCAGTCCGTTGGTAGCTGATACAACTTCCCAAATAGGTGAAGTGGTCAACATGTTCTATCACTTCACTCCCTATCACTAAGTTAGGAGTTGACGTGGTCCAGTCCTGTAGCAGCATCTTACATTTTGTAGGGGCGAATAGCATGCCAAACATACGAAGATTGCTGCTCAAGGTGTTCAGAAGACTCTGCATTTTGTCAGAATCCTCCCCTAACAGGACTATGTCATCTGCATATTCTAAGTCCATAAGACTATTCCCTGGTAACAAGTCGATTCCTAAGTCGTTACGTTCAGTTAAGGATACTTCCATCAGCATATCTATGATGAAGTTAAACAGGAATGGGGAAAGTGGACATCCCTGTCGGACACCACTGGTTGTTACCAATTCAGATGACAATTCCCCATAAGCCCTTACACGACAACGTGAGTTTGAATAGAGTGTCTTGATTAGCGCAATGTACTTTCTTGGCACTCCCTTCAGAGTCAAGCGTTGTCATAGTACCTTTCGATCCACGGAGTCGAAGGCCGACTTCACGTCAAACAGGTATGTCCAGATGAGCTCAAATCTTGTTTTGCCGACTGGAGCCCGAATGAATCAGTGTAGCTTCTACAGTATAGCACATAAATCTACACCGGTTCAGTAAGTTGTATCGCATTCCTACTAATCTTAATTTTGCTTTACGAGTTCATCTTCTACATACAGCTGAAGCAATAGGAATTCACTTGAAGAAGCGAAACTTGTGTGTTCATAAGAAATTTGTACAGCCACTTTCTTTACCTTGGCCATCATTACATGAGTGAATAAATCGGACTACTTCGCCCACCTCCCCCTAAACGTTGTAAAAATTATAATTGTCTAAATTATTTTAGTTTTCTGACTACTTCATCTTTAATTACGTGTAATCTTTGTAAAATTATTTTTCTTCTATGAACACTTCAACCTTAGTTACAAATTATCATTGTCCAATTCATCTTATTTTTCTTTCACAACCTGTTATGTAATCAACCTGTGTACACGCTTATTCCTTAATTACTCTTCATTTTTCCAAAATTATGGATTATGCAATTCACTTGTTGTAACCATTTCCACCTTTTAATTGTGCATATTAATTTTCTTCGTTAATTATCACCCTATTGACATGTTGACACTGACTAATTATTGTTAACAAACATATCAGTGCCACTTGATGATTGGTATTGTAATAAAAATGCTATACGTGTGTATTAGAGTAGAGCCAGAGTGAATATTTCTTGCCTCGCTCAAACTTCCTGTTTTCTAAGTTCTATTAAGTAACGACAATAAAATAAATAAACAATTAAATTAATCAAATAGCAGAGGTAATAGTACATCTGCTATGGTATCAAAACAAAATTTACCAAGGAAGGTTTAATGTGATGACGAATTGTTTTTGAATGCATAAAGGTGGCTTGAACTTTCTAATTACCAGGGCTTCCACAGACTTTAGGATACACTTCAAATAGGTTTTTTTGATAAGTCAATAAGAGAGATATGTGAACGTCAATTTTATGTCCTGTTTCTATAACATGTTTCGTAATAGATAAGCTAGGTCTCCTGTTCTCATCGTTAATAGGTTCTGAAGATTTCATTTGTTTCTGGAGACATTTAGGAGTATGCTCTGAAGCCCTTACTTGCAGAGATCGATGAGTCCTTCCTATTTTTGACCTTCAATATGTCCTTTTAACTTGACCTAAGTCTATTTTCTCACCTCTTACCTCTCTATTAATTTCATATATATTTCTATGACAAGTCCGTGTGTGTGTGATCAGATTGTTCGAAATGTGTTGCGCAAATACAACATTACACGATTCAGACGAATTACGTCTTCTTATTGCTTTATCTAAATTCAGAAAGGGAACTAATTGTTTTAAATAAATAAATATCATTCATAATTAATTAACTTACTGATGTGTGTATATCTCGTCCAAATTGTTCATTCTCCGTAAATATAAGCAGTAAAATTAACGCCATATAAACAAGATGTGAATTGTGTGATTGAGATTTGTAAAGAATATTTAACAAGGGTGGAAGCTGACAATTACAAAATACAAATAAAAGAGAACATATAGGTAAGGAAGAATATTTATATAATAATTCTAATTACATTACAAACTGACATCATTTAATTGAATATTAGATTTTCCCGTCGATTGATTGATTGGACCGAAGTTTTCAGTCTCAGGTTGACATGTCTGTCGGTTTCTCATGCAGATGCTTCGATGATGTCTGGACGTGTAACTAGAAGCCTAAATGTCAACCTGAGACTGAGAACTTCGGTTAAATCAATCGATCGATGGGAAAATCTAAAATTCAATTAAATAATGAAATATGACCCGTTGCACAAGGGATGATCAGCTCTCTCTGGTGGCCCAAGTGGTCTAGTGGATAACGCTTTGGCGTTTCTAACTACGGCCACTGGGTTCGAGTCTCAGTGGTGGGAACATCATCACTCACTCACTCATTGGAGAATGTAGGCACATCTCAAATAGGACTAAATGCGCATTCAGATCTTCTAGAATCTTCCCATCGGTCCAGCGTATTCCTCTCTTTTCGCTCCCTACAGTCTTCCACATGATATAGCCCACACCACTACAATGAGGAACATCCTCATGGATGATAGTGAACAGCCTTGTCTAACTTCTCTCTTCACTTCAAAGGCTGCGCGCGCTTAGTTTTCTGTTGTGGATCACCCGACGCATGCCATTGTCATATAGCCCCAGCTGTTGAATGAGTTTGATAAAGATTTTGGGCACTGCACCCCAGAGTGTTGAAGTATTTTCCAAATTATTTCGTGGTCAACTCTGTCAAAGGCTTTTTTCACTAAGTCGATGAAGTTGACGCAGAAATTTGACTGCCATTCTGCGCTTTGTCGGATGAAACGATACCAGTGAGAAAGGGATACAAAATAGTTCCTTAAAGATTAATGTACTGGGCCCTAGTGACTGACTACAAGATGAAGTTGCCTCAAGATCTAATAATAATACGGCCCATCAAGTCCAGTGTGAGGATAGATATTCCCCAATGATATTGACTGGGGATGGCGCTACACATCAGGAACTGACAAAAACTATACCTCATGGAATATTGGGTTATTGATTTTTTGATTTATTTAGTTATTTAAAACATACATTTGGTACAGTATGGGCACCAAGAGATGCTCCACACAAAAATAATAAAACGACAACAACAACACATAAATGAGGGTCGTCATCTGGAAAACTAGCAAGCATACTTGTTAAGACCACTCAATATTCATCACTTCATGTTACTTTCATAGAAAGGGGAGAAAAGAAATTGTAGCATATTCTCCATTGATTGAGATTCTCAGTCATAGATGAAAGTGTTTCGAGCCACCAATTTGAGCTACCTCTAGGACTCCAACCACGGAGTTGTGATGTACCAACCGATACTAACCTAACACAAATATAATTCATCCCACGACGCCACATCATGGGTTGCCCACCTGTCCCCCTCTTTCTATTCCGTCCCAGGGCTAGCGAACACATGGCACTACCGAACAGAAGTAGTTCTACGGAGACTGCTGATGCCGAATATGCAGAGTTGCCTCACATCCTTAGCATGAAGACGCCAGATCTTACAGGCATAGAGCAAGATAAATGAGCAACGAAGCATTGTAAACCCTACCTCTAACAACCACGATAATGTCGCGACGGAGCCAAAGATGGTACAAATTGGCGTATGCCACCTTAGCTTTCATGATACTGTTGGAAATCTCATCCATCCATCCATCACACACACCCCTGCACCAGCACTTAAACAACCACCCAAATTCAACGAACTTATCGACAAATTTAAGCGCGTTCACCTGCAAGCATGAGTGAGAGTGCAGGCTCCTGCCAATTGTGTAACTACTTTGTAATTAGACGATCCATTACTAATGGATACTGATCGATAACTGTTTGAGTACCATTTGGACAGCCTGCATACTATCGTATCAGTAGGACGATATCGTCTGTATAAGTGAGTTGGAAAACGGTTGCGATTAGGCAAGTCTTGTGTACATTTGTTGCTTCTGCATTTTCTTCTGGTCTGCTGAATAAGTAGGAGAGTGGTGACAGTTAACGCTTAGATTATACAACCATATATTGTATATGTTATGTCGTATGAATAGTTTAGAAAACATGTTACCTTTATACAAGAAAAAGCAATAATTTCATATCCTATACTTTTTTCACATATTTTATTCCATACTTGTACCGAAAATACGGTGTGGAATCAAGCTATAATAAACAAACAAACGAGTGAATTACGCCTGAAATCAGCAAATACACGCACGCACACACACACACACACACACACAATCATGCACATATGGGAAAGACAAAATCGAACATACCCCCCCCAACTATATGATTTTGTAAGAGATAATAGATAGTGTAACAATCCACTTACCAATTTTTCATATCCTCTGTCTTGCATAATAAATGTATGAAAATTTGTATTACGATGTAATAACAGATAGAGTATTAATGGGCTACTATCCTGAGATAAAGTTAAAGCAGCTGTATCACAGATCGCCGTGAAATTTATAAACGATGATGATGACTGTGTAACAATATTCAAATGTCCATTCAATGTAGCACCGCCTGGTTGTAATCGAGGCGCTAAAGTTACACACACAAAAAAGGGAACGAAAGAAGAAAGACATTACAATTACAATAAAAGTTATTCAATTAATAATATGCATAAAACACATGAAAAGCCTGGTTAGCTGTCTTTCATCATAGGTGCCGGCATCTTATCTTGCGTGTTAGATGGTAGGTGTAATAGGGTGAGTAATATTGAAGTGGTTAGGCTTCTTTTGAGTGCTACACACAGAAGGGAAGTCAACGGCAACTAGGTTGTGATGTTAAATCGTTTGGGTTAGATGGTTAAGACACGTGTTATGCATGCATGTCTAGTCATCGATAGCCTTCCACGATGGATAATCTTAGCTGACTTGATTGACTGACTGACTGGTTTCAACAGAGAACTTTGCACCGATGTGCAGCAGTTTGAGTCAGCACACTCCCTCCTTGTTGCACACAAAGCAAGCGAAAAAAGTACAAGAAATGTAAAATAGAGACAGTAAACAGATATATAAGACAAAAAGAATAGTAATATCAAAGAACAAAATTGTTTTATTGGATATTATAAATCACAAGGAGTAGATCCATCTGCGCTAGCCAGTGACATCGATGATATTTAGCCATATCACCAATTGTCTCCAGCTATGATTGGTTTTTTGCCATCCCGAGAGCCCCAACCAGTCAGGAAGCCAGTGTACACCTACCTACGTAGCTGGCTGGCTTAAACTAAGTGTTGTGGATTTCGTTAACTGATGAAGCCATGTTTCGGTTTGACCATCACTAACAGCTCACTCCTTTACCTCGCTAAGCCGGGAATAATGCTGGTAAAGAGGAAAGGTTGGGCATGAGGCTAGCAACCCCATCCTGTAAAAATAAACACTGCGACAGAAACTTCAAGCCACTAGCTTGAAGTCCTATGTTCCACTGGGAACGTGAAGGGAAAAAAATAGATCTTTTCCAACCTAACCCATCCTATGTCAGTCAGCTCACATTGGCCGCCACCGAGGAAGACGGTGACTAGGCATGCGTGACACATGTTCTAACCATCTCAGTCGATGTAACTCTACAGACTAGTTGATTGATGTCCCCTCGCTGCTTACCTAGCACTCAACCGACACCTAAACTCATTATCACTCACTTTATTATACCATCTAAAACGGGAGATAGAACGCAGGCACCCATGATCGAAGACAGCTAGCCAGCGTTTCGTGTATTCCACTTTTAACGGCCATGGCTTACCGACAGCCGTAAAGAAGGACGGAGCGGACTGATGAGCAGTACACCCGCCCTTTGGTCAATAGCCAGCCGGATATCACGCCTATGCCAGAGACGGCGAAAACTGGAATATGCGAAACTAGCCCTCTGTATCCGTAATGATATTTCGTCAGAGATCAACCCATTGGGGCTGACGGTACTTCCCAAATAAGTGAGGCGGTCAACATGCTCAGTCATCACTTCACTCCTTATTTCCAAACTAGGAGTCGGTATAGTCCAGTCAGTCCTGTAAAATCATCTTACATTTTACGGGAGCGAATCGCATGTCGAACATTCGTAGATTGCAGCTCAAGGTGTTCAGAAAACTCTGAATTTTTTCAGCGTCCTCAACTAGCAGGAAGGACTATATCGTCTGCATATTCTAAGTCAACGAGATTAAACCCTGGTAGCAAGTCAATCCCTGAGTCGCTGAAGTCACTTAGGGTTAATTCCACCAGTACATCTATGATGAAATTGAATAGAAATGGGGATCATGGGCATCCTTGACGGACACCACTTCAGACGACAAATCGCCGTAAGTTCTCACCTGCTTGACTGCATGAGTTCGAGTAGAGTGAGTGGCTTCATCATTGCGATGTATTTTCTCGTCATTCCCTTCACAGCCAAACATCGCCAGAGTACCTCTCAGTCAACAGAATCGAATGTTGCCTTTAGGTAAAGAAATATAACGATTGTTGGACGCAGGTAAGTATGCCTATATTCTGGAATCTGTCGAAGGGTGAGGATACGACTAATACACCCTCTTCTCGGTCTAAAGCTTGCCTGGCTCTCTCGTGTTTGTGCCTCCCGTGGACCGCTTAGTCTATGCATGATTATTGAGTCTAGGACTTTAGATACTATATTAGTCAGGCTACTCCCTCTGTGATTATCACATGAAGACTTGTCTCCCTTCTTGTATATGGGGATAATCAGTGACTTACACCAACCCCATTGGACTTCCTCTGGTTCCCAGACGCTGCCTAGAGCCTCGGTTAATGCAGACAATAAACTGTTTCCACCGTACTTAAATACCTCTGGAGTCATTTCCATCAGGTCCTGCTGCTTCGCCTTGTTTCAGATTAGTGACAGCTTTAGTAACCTCAGTTAGGGAAGGAGGACCTGTGTCTATATCCCATTCAGGGAGGTGTTGGGTGTTCGGCGGGTTGAGCGTGGCTCAGCTGACAGAGATAGAAAATAGCTAGTGCTGGTCAGACCTAAATATGGCATCCGCGTCAATGAAATCCATAAGTTAGTTTGAGCCGGACAACCAAGGAGATGCAGACTCCCTGGTTGGTGTCTTCGGGATGGTGAAAACCAATGAAGGCTGACGACAATTGGTGATGTCACTCAAAATCATTCTCGATGATGGAGCAGATGTACTCACTCTTCGTAAGTCATCATATCCAATAAAACTGTTTTGTCCTTTCCTGTTACCATTTTTCCCCTTTCTCGCATTTCAGTTTATTATCAGTCTTTTGAATATCTCTTTAATGTCTTCTGTTGCTTTGTGTGCTACTAGGAGGGATTGTGGCAACTTGAACTGGTGAACATCTGTGCAAAGTCATATGTTGAAACCAGTCAGTCAGATAGACCCACACCCACACGAAAACTGTTGTCCTGCCTTAGCAAGAGGACTCGCGGTACTAGTGAACACGAAACCTGAAAAAATGGGAAAATTGGTTACAGGATTTCATTATGAGCTCACATCAGTTAGAGAACCATTGGAAAGACACCAGGGAGTACTGGACAGCTGTTTCGTCAGCCTGCTCTGGGACTCTTCATTAGCACGCACTCACCCACAGGGATTCAAACCCAGAATTTCCCGGTTATATGGCCAGACAGCTGGTAGACCATTAATCAGTCACTGAGACCCAACCCGATCCACCGACCGGCCCATCAATTCTAATTTCTGCCAAGAATTCACGACATAGAACTTCAGGTAACTACCTACCTGAATAGTGCCAGTTCCAGTGGGAAGCCGTGATCAGTAGAGTACAGCAGGTTGAAGGTGAGGCAATAACTCATCGAAGAAGACATTGGTTGGTGGTCGCGCTATGTCATGGATTGGCAGAAGTTAGAATTCATAGGCCATTGGATCGGGCCCCAGTAGCTTAATGGTCTACGAGCTCGCCAGCCTTGTAGTCAGAAGGCCCTGAGTTCGATCCCCAGTGGTAGGTGCGTACTGCTGTGGAAGGCCAACGAAACAGCTGTCTAGTACTCGCAGGTCTTCAAATGGTTTTCTAAGTGGTTATGATGAAATCGTCCAACCATACTTATTATTTGTTAACTTCAAGGAATACTCATCACATAAAAAGTGATTCCTTAAGGGATTATCTGAATTATTTTAGTCAAAATGTAAGAGTAAAGTGGCCGACATCTGGCGCTGACAGCCAGACCAGTGGGCATACAGGTCTACCTAGGATGAGAGCTGGAAAACACTGATTAAAAGCCTACGGTGTACATAAACTCCATACCTTGAAAGTATCGAATGGTGTATGAAGCTATTATGGTCGGCAAAAACGATGGGGACGTAGCTCTCAACGCTGTCCTACCGTTTTCTGGATCAGACTTCAAGTCAAAGGTGCAAGGGGGTAGCCAATTAGGACGACTATCTGCCTCCGTCTGAGAGTCCGGGCAGTATCCCAGTCCTCGCATAAACTGTGAGATTTTGTGTGGGACCTACAATGTACCAAGTCAGTGATTTAATAATAAATGAATAACAATAGTATTAGCAGCAAGGTGCCCCGAGAATCGTTCAACGTTAGTCAACCACAACGAACTACACTACACTGAAGTGTAGGGATATAGCTGACTTAAATCACAGATGATTCGTCTTTTAAGTGTGTGTTTGCACTGTACCGGTGTATATAATCAAAACATGGGGAAAATTTCAAAACCCATTATAGATAAGATTTTATTTTGATAAATCGCAGTGTTTACTGTAAACACTGTGCGATTTATCAAAATAAAATCTTATCTATAATGGAATTATACTCTACCACAGTGCCCAAGTTTTATACTTATTTCAAAACCCGGAGACTAGTAAACATACAGCCTCCAACAAATTGACAGTTTCATGTAAAACTTTGCACAAGTGTAAAATATTTCACACTACCATATTTCATAAAAACACACATGAATAAAAGAAGAGAACTGTTATGATATTAAAATGAACAAGCATGACTATGAGGACGATATTCGCCACCTAATCGGAATTAGAGTACATACAGTACGCGAAAAAATATGCAAGGCTTCTGGTGCTACAGTTTTAAATCTCATTATATCCTTTTTTTTAAAAAACAGACATACCAGTTATAACCGACTTCATAGATGCCTTTAGACTTGAAAAGGTGACATTTGAGTCCATTTATTAAGTTACCTTTTGCAACTGCTGTTTGGAAAGACTACATACTAAAATGGGTGAAATCTGAAAGAAGCAACCTCCTTCACCTACCTACATATATACCTGGGAAGCATCTTTTTAACTACAGGCCGACGGATCTGATGAGGATATCAAAGCGAGGATCATCGCGGAAGCAAGGCAAGCTTCCACTAATCTCAAGTCTGTGTAGAGGTCAATATCACTCAGCATGAAAAATAACATCCGGATTTTCAACTCCAATGTGAAGTCAGTGCTACTATGCGGATCAGAGACTTGGCGTCGCGCCGCGTCACGAAGGGCACTTCGAGCAAACTATACACCTTCATCAACACCTGTCTTCGCTCAATGCTACTCAAGATCAGATAGCCGACAGGAAAGATCACCAACAAGGAGGGATCTCTGGAAACGAACGAGCACAGCAGGAGGCAAATGTGCAACAAATTTGCGGGAAGAAATCGAGGTGGATTGGCTGGTCATACTCTGAGAAAACAAACCATCAAGTGACATCACACATCAGGCCATCACTCGAGTGGAACGCAAATGGGAAGCGGGGAGTCGGTCACTGCGAGGGTGACATGGAGGAGGAGGTTATGTAAAATGGAGATGAAAGCATGTGGGCAGACGTACAGCCAGGTGAAAACATTGGCAGAGAAGCGAATGCAATGGAGAAGTTTGGCTGAAGACCTATGTTCGTCTTGGAACTAAAGGAAACAATAATAATAATAAAAGGCCATAGGTCAAGTTTTCTTGTTCTACATTAGTAAAGTGGTCCGATTAAATCAGTTATTGTGGCTAACTGCCAAAGCGTTACTACTCCCCCTGAAGTACAACACATAGCATTCTGAGTGGAACGTAGGGCTTCAAGCTTTGACTTTTAAATTTTCAGTAACACCGGTGTGATTCTTCTTCCGACGGGCTGGGGTTACCAGCCTCAAGCCCAACTTTCACCCTTTACCAGGCTTACTACCAGGCTTAATCGGGTTTTAGGAGTACGTCAGTTGGCGATCGAAATCCGGATGATCATGTGCCTGGTTGGCAAGCATTCCATCGCCGCCGAAATACCGACACACTAGCTGATTGTCTACTGTTTACCCATTACTACTATTTTGCTTTGATTAGTGTTGTCGAACGAGTTTGGAGTTTTCGACCACTCGACCAACCCGACAAAAAACAAAACAGTACACCGACATAATACACAAATCCCATTAAGCAGTGAATATGAGGTCCTGACAACGAAAGAAAACTTTTTTTGTACAAACTAACTTGACTTAGGCAGTACATGAGTTGAATCCATTATCGATTCTGCTTGATGCTTTTGAACAGTTTCATCTTGTAAAGTGAACAGGGTATTTCGATAGGGATTTCGACCTAAAGGATTAGAATCTTTCAGACCAAGATCAGGATAAGTTGAAATAGACTTTTCAATTGATCCAGCCTGTGTTGTAAGCACCAGTAATAGCAATGAGCTGACATTAGATAATAAATGACACTGATCAACAGATTTAGTATTTGATTCAGAGGTGACAAGATCAACAGCTGAGGTAGCTTTGACTGCTTCAACAATTGTCACTTGAGGAGTATCCAGTGTATCAGATTTTGTTGTTGTAGCAGTAGTATTAGCAGTGCCACGACTTAAGAAGCCGCCAAGTGTGACAATTGATAGTAGACCGCCTAAAATAGGGAAGAAATAAAAAGGGAAAAACGTAAATTTGATGATGATGGTGATTATCATTAAATACAGATTAATGTGTCATGTAACCTCGCCTAGATTACCAGCTCGTTAGTTTTCTAGCCGGTCCCAAGCCCAGATAAAGAGGGTGGGTTGGGGCGTGGTGATAGCAACTCCTGCCCCAAAATTTAACCAAATCGCTACAGAAACTTCAATGCACCAATGTATTAAAAATTCTAAAAATAAAAACAGTAACATTATTTTTCGCTGGAATCGGGGAAGTGAAATGACGCAGGCTGGTGAAAGCCTTCGGGAAGCCAGTCAGCCGATGTGCCTTCTTTCGATGAAAGCAAAAATAAGGATGGGGACGTGGAATGTTCGTACAGTGTACGAAACTGGAAAGGCTGCCCAGGTAGCCGCAGAAATGAGGAGATATAGAATAGAAGTGTTGGGAATCTGCGAAAGCAGATGGAACGGATGTGGTAAGTGCCAACTACCATCTGGGGAGACAATAATCTATTCCGGCCAGCCAGAGGACAATCACGAGCACACCGAAGGAGTGGCCATCATGATGTCATCAACAGTAGTCAAGGCTCTCATGAAGTGGGAACCAATCTCCTCCAGAATAATGACAACCAGGTTCAACTCAAAAGGAAGGAAGGTTGCAATCATTCAATGCTATGCACCCAACATATATGCAGGAGAAAGTGGAGATGGATTGGACACTTGCTGAGGAGGCCGCTGGGTGACATCGCGCGCGCGTCAGGCCATTGCTTGAGTGGAACCAGGCCGAAAGGGAAGCGGCGAGTGGGACGTCAGTGCAAGGGTGACATGGAGAAGACCGTGTGAAGAGGAGTTGAAACAGTATGGACTAACATGGATGCAGGTGAAAAGTACAGCGAAAGACAGAAGCAAGTGGAAACGTGTAGTTGAAGCCCTATGTTCCACTAGGAACCCATGGGAATAATAATAATGTGTCATGTGCATACATGGTGTATTGACCTTAGCACTTAAAGTCTCAAACAGTGAGCTTAAATCTCAAAAACCTACTAACACCTACTTCAACCTAAGCGGCTGGAGAACGTAACCATCACCCATGATCTTCTTGATTATCGGTAGACTGAAACATGTAGTAGATATGGTGGCGGGGGGTGGTGAAAAGACAGACATACGTTGGACTGACAAAAAAGAGCTACTAGAATATTTTAGTTTTAAGGATGACTTGTACGCCTCGTGTCACACAAACTCGAAGATTGATAGGCGAAAACCAACATCTTAGCAGAAGACAGGAACTTTTGGCGGACATAGAGCACACAAAGATGATGAAAACACCAATCACCACCCATCCGGTGGATAGGCAGCATAATACGGCTAGCGGCATGGATAAGGATATCAAAAGACAGAATCAGAAAACCAGGAGAGTTTCCTTCATCGCTCTGAAATCAGTGTGGAGATTTACAATATTTTAAAAAAAACGAATAATATCCCAATTTTCAACAGAAGACAAGGTTGAGAAAATCAACAGATATTTATACATTTTTATGTACATTATTATTAAAGTTATTGTTAGCAGAGAAACAGCGTCTTCTGATTGGTTGTTCTCTCGCTGAAAGTTTCTCTGTCATTTCTTTGTGGCCGTCTCTTTGATGGTCAAACTATTTATCTGCGATTCGTATCCGCCGACGGTAAGTCTTTGCTCTTGTTTTTTTTCTCATGACCAAGATTTGAGAAGTAAACATTGACGCGAATTGCTGTCTACAAATTTTGGCTAGCAAACAGCTCTCACCACACATTAGTATCAAGTCAGCACTTACACAGGGTTCGAAGAACTGACACACTTGGGCCACCTGAAGCACTTCCATGAACAGATGCCTTCTTTGGTGAGATACTGAACATCAGATGGCCAGATTAACTAATAAGGAAGTCTGGCGGGGAACCAACCAAGAATCCATCGCCCAGGAAATATGCAGAATCAAAAGTGGAGATGGATTGAACATACGCTAAGGAGACTAATTGACATCCTACGTAGGATAGGCCTTCTAGTGAAACCCAAACAGGAGGGAGTGACGAGTTCAGCGCGTGACAGTGATATGAGGAAAAGCATATGAAGAGAAAATGAACGGCTTTGGGTTATGACAGAGCCAGATTTAAAAGAATTCAAAGAGCAGGATGGAATGCACATGTGCTGCTAAAGCCGTATTTTTCACTGGGAATGCGACGGTTATGAATGATAATAGTAATAGCTGGCTGGTGATGTGCGAAACCTATTCTTAGTAGCTCAGTTCTAACAAATGTGGAGTATATTATAAACTAACTGTTGTTTTGTTTTTCTTTACAGTCCCCATAACTACAGACTTACTAATCAACTCTTCGAACAATTAAAGATCATAATCCGGATGGATAATAACATATTTCCACCTCCCTATTATGTACATGAACCGTTTCTAGGTAAGTCTAAATGGTTTAATTTAATCCCGAAAGCCAATAACCCCATGAGGATGTATGGTGTGGTTAAAGTTCATAAGTCAGGATACCCTATTAGACCTATAGTTGATTTTTAAAATTCACCTGCTTATGAATTATCTAAATAATTAGCCATGGTATTAAATCCCCTTAAAAGCCACTCAAAATCTAGACTAACTAATTCTTATGAACTAAAACACAGATTAGATAGTTTAAAATTAGATAATGAAGAAAAAATGGTTACAGGATTTCATCATGAGCTGACATTAGTTAGAGAACCATTGGAAAACCTGGGAGTACAGCTGTCCAGTACTCCCAGGTTTTCCAATGGTTCTCTAACTAATGTCAGCTCATGATGAAATCCTGAAACAAATCAAATCCCTACAAACTATCACTTGAAAAAATGGTTAGTTTTGACATTGTCAGTTTGTATACATGTATACCAATAAATATGGCTATAAAGGCAGTCAGAAACGAACTCATTTCTCACCAAGAACACAAACTTAGGAAAAAAGTCTCACTTGAGGACATAACGCTGGGAGTGCAGCTATGCCTGACTTCCACAGTATTTAAATTCCAAGGGAAAATATACAAACAAACTGACGGAGTTCCCATGGGGTCACAAATATCCCCATATTCATGGATAGGTGGGAAAACATGGAGATTGAAACGTTCAGCCCCCACCCCAAAAGTATGGTGGAGGTATGTAGATGACACATTCACTGTACTTAGAACACAAGATATAAATAGATTTTTCGAGCACATCAACTCGAAGTTAGAGGCAATTCAATTCACTTATCAATTGGAAAGTCAGGAAGGGGAACTTCTAATGTTAGATTGCAGCGTGAAAGAAGATGGGAAGCTAAACACTAGTGTTTACAGAAAACCCACACATTCAAACAGATATTTGGATTTCCGATCATCCCATCCTATGTCAGTGAAAATAGGATTAGTGAAATGTTTGAATAATAGAGCACAAAAACTAAGTAGTACCAAGGAAAACGACAGCAGGTGAGGCATATAAAAGAAGCTTTAAAACTTCATAATTATCCTGATAAATTAGTCAGAAAGTATGTAGGGAAATGTGAAAATATAAAATAAATAATAATAGTGGTAGTGAAATTAATAACAATAGTAATATCAATGACAACATGCATGTCAAACATGCGCAAGATAATGACAACACCAACAATAAGGAATCTAAATCATCAGCAGTAATTCCATACTAAGAAGGAACCTCGGTAGCCTTACGCAGAATTCTTAACAAGGCAGGAAGAAAAGAGGCTGGCATTCAAACCTCACACAAACTCCACTAGAAACAAGCTTTGTCGGTTAAAGGATCAATCCTGTGGAACATCCCATTAAACAAAACAATTTAGTTTATCTAATACCCTGTTGGAATGATTATCAGGTCAAATACATAGGTCAAACTAGTAGAACAAGGGCAGTCAGACTAGCCAAACATAAAAACCTAGGAAAATCTAGATTGGTTGACCCAAATAAGATAATAAACCTAGAGAATAGTTCAGCCATAGCACTCACTACATGCAATTACACACAACCATGCAATAGGATGGGTGGAATAAGATGACAGTTTTAAAATCTGATGTCACAGGGTGGAGAGAGAGATTGATAACGGAAGCTCTGTTTATCGAATCAACTGCGAAAACGTGTAATAGGAATGATTCAACACCTGTCTGGCCAGATATCTGGAAAATTCCACAACCCCTACGATGACAAATAGGAGAACAAAGAAGACTATACAACTCAAGTTTCAGAGTCGTGTGATTATAATTGGCGATATGATTATGAACAACAATAGATTGTGTTCGAAACCTTGTCATCCAGTAAATAATACTGTTTCACTGTGTGATACATCTTATCAACAAACTAATGTGGAATTACTTACTACCACAGTGCCCAAGTTTTATATATAAATGTACATGGATTGTCATGTCTACATTAAGGTACAGTGCAAAAATCAAATAATGGACTACGTGTCTGACAGTTATTTTGAAAAAAAACAATGCAGTATAATGCTTTTTTTTATTGCTTCACGTTCCCAGTGGAACATAGGGCTTCAAGCTAGAGGCTTGAAGTTTCTGTAGCATTGTTTATTTTACAGGATCGGGTTGCTAGCCTCATGCCTAGCCTCGCCCTCTTTACCAGTTTTATTAATGAATAAGTGAGGTAAAGGAGTGCGTTGGTGGCCGGTGATCGAAGCCAGGACCATGTGCATGGTCGGTGAGCGTCCTAACCGCTGTGCCACCGACGCACAGTATAATGCTTAGTCCATTTGTATTAAACTTGTATGTATGTAATTCAATTGCACTGAGAGAAAATATGCAAAGATACATTCTTACCTGCAACAGATGATGCAGCCCTCCATATTAAACTGTACTGTTCAATACCGTGTAAATGTGGTGGGACAGGACGATTCTCAGCAAAGTTGGACAGTAAACGGCAAACTAATGCAGGAGCCAAAGAAGCACTAAAAAAATGTATTAAAAACAATAATAATAATAATAGCAACAGTGGGATTAGAAAGCCATTAGGCTAATCACACCAATGATATAGACGTGAACCATTAACATCAGGGGACTTGGTTTTCAGCCCATGGGATTACGCCCTCCAGTCTCGATTCACCCAGTTCAGCCTAGGCAACTGGGTATTACCATCAGTCGTCACACGATAAGTGTGGTTCTTATCATAGTACATAAAAGATCTGTTCTAAGTAACACTCAAATAACAGTATAAAGTGCCGTTTCCCGATTCTGATCTATCCAAAATACTGGTATGAACCAAGAAGAAATTCTTTTTACCTGAGATAAATAGGACAAAGATTTTAATAAATGATAAATAAATAATAATTTACTTTATTCCAAAACAGTGCTTGTGATACAGAATGGAATTCTCAGCATTTCACTACAGCATTGCACATCCAGTTTGTACATTAACAATAAATAAAATTCTACATAGATTAAGGGTAATCTCAGTTAGTTTTTGACAACATATTAGCATGTCAGTAGCAAAGCCAAAAATTGAAGTGTTTGAAGCTGTTAGAAAAGTAGATGCTAACATATTTTTACTGGCGTAAGCGGTAACAAAAAGGTCGAGATATACAGAGTGTGAAAGAAAGAAGAAGAATGTTTAAAGTTGAGTTTGTAAGGAAGAAAGAAATAAAGTAGCACATAAGAGAGAAAAAAGAGAGAAAAGGAAAAAAGAGAAAGAAAACGTTGTACTTATAATTGATATGAGTTGGAAAGACGAGATCCAGTTGTTCTACTGACTATTTAATAAGTTATAAGTTTTACGCCTAATGCTTTCTTTATCGCACAGAACACGAGCTAAGTAGGTAGGGTATGGTTGAGTTTTTGTACTTCCTAGTGCGAGCATATAGTTTTCTATATAGGCTTCTGGTTTTGGCTGATGAGACACAAGGGGAGAGTTGTGAATGAAGAGTGTGGTGTGAGTTAGATAGAATAGATTTAGCCCATTTGTCACATGAGTCCAAGTGCCTGTCGACTAGAAGAAATTTAGTTGATATAAATAAGAACCTATCGTAGTAGTGGAGATGTATGAATAGTTAGCCTATATCTTCACGTGTACTGATAGAACTCCTTATTCGCTTTAACTTTTCTTTACAGGTTTTATGGAGATCTGAAATCTTAGATTGCCTAATTTAGTTTGTTTTCCTTTATGTTCACCTTCCACTTGATGTGCAGATATACATATTTGGCAACTTAGATTAAAGTAGCGTAATTCCACTCCTTGTGGTGGTGATGTTTACTCAAGATTATAACGCTATAGTGAGACATGTTACCATGATACTCTCCACAGACGCTAAGTATACCGATACTTGCTACTTGAGCAGCGAAGTTACCAGCCCACATGACTACAACTGAAGGATTACAATAATGGCTTCAAACGGTCTCATAAAGAGAGAATATTGGAGCACATCGGCAGGTATCACAGTCTTTGCATGTTATTACATAGACATTAAGTCAAAAAGAGTAGTCTGTGAATTGGATTTATAGTTCAGTAGTGTATTTCCTGCCCTTCAGAACTCGATGTTATCCCAACGACCTCAGAAAGACTACACATTGTCATGTAATCTATATGAGACTACTTGACAGAGAGATAGTAAATAGTATAAAGACGATGATCCTGCCAGAAGTTCATGCTGACAAGAAATGAACTGTGTTATAAGCAGAGCAATAGAAACTATCTCCATTATTTGACCTACAAATATCTAGTTCTTGACGAGTGTCTAAACACCTGTCTCCTCAGCTTAAATACTCAATTCAACAATCAACAATAGCTAGTCAGAGCGCTTGAATATGGTTATTCAGGTGATGGTACAACGCATCCTTAACTGCGCCTACACTGCATTCTGACGCGTAGAAAGCGATAATAAAACAAACGTCTCTCTTTTGAGTTGCTTTTTACTATATCCTTATCCAGCCCAACAGTACAAGAACAACTGTTAAATGGGATGCAGTCAAAATGTACACCTTTAACACGTTAACCTTAAAGCAAGCACTTCTGTGTATGTGTCAAAGATACAATATAAATATCAAGATTTCGGCTTTCCAAGTCTGTCTGTCTGTCTGTTTTCGACATAGAACTTTGCACAAATGTGCACCACTTCAAGTCGCCACACTCCGTGTAGCACGCGAAGCAAGAGAAGAAAGTACAAGAAAAGCATAATAGAAACAGTGAGCAGAGGTGTGAGACAAAGGAGTAATAAAGAAATACAAAACAGTTTCATTGGAGATCATAAGTCACAAGGAGTGGATGCATCTGCGCTAGCCATCACTGAGAACGATTTTGAGCCATGTCACCAATTGTTTCCAACCATAGATTTTTACCGTCCCGAGGACCCCAACCAGTCAGGAAGTCTACACCTTCCTACGTGGCTTAGACCAACCGTTGTGGATTTCATTGACTGGTGATGCCATGTTTTTGTTTGACCGCCGCTAGCTTTCTTCCAGCCTGACCCTATATCCGCTAACATTGCTCGTCGAGGGAGGCGATGGCTTGGCATACGTAACACATGTCCTAACCATCTCAGTCTTTGTAGCTTCACCACAACTTCGTCGATTGATTTCCCCTGTTTTCCTAGAACTCTACGCCTAACCTCAATGTTGCTCACCTTATTATGCCACTTTACACGGGAAATAGAGCGCAGGCACCTATGATCAAAGACAGCTAGTCTTTTCATGTCTTCCACTCTCAGTGGCCAGGTCTCACAACCATAAAGGAGGACGGAGCGGACTGATGAGCAGTACACCCGCCCTTTGGTCGATAGTCGAACATCTCGTCTACGCCAGAGTCGGCGTAAACTAACAAATGCGAAACGAGCCCCTGTATTCGTGCTGAGATTTCGTCAGAGATCAGCCCGTTGGGGCTGATGGTACTTCCCAAATAAGTGAAGCGGTCAACGTGCTCTACCACTTCACTTCCTATTTTTAAACTAGGCGGCGATGTAGTCAAGTCATGTAACATCATCTTGCATTTGGCGGGAGCGAATCGCATGCCAAACATTCGTAGATTGCGGCTCAAGGTGTTTAGAAGACTCTGCATTTCGTCAGCGTCTTCGCCTAGAAGGACTATATCGTCTGCATATTCCAAGTCAACGAGATTATTCCCCGGTAGCAAGTCAATCCCTGAGTCGCTGAAGTCACCTAGAGTTAAGTCCATTAACACATCTATGATGAAGTTGAATAGAAAAGGAGATAATGGGCATCCTTGACGGACACCACTGGTCGTCATCAGTTCAGATGACAGCTCGCCGTAAGCCCTCACCTGGCTGTATGAGTACGAATAGAGTGCTTTAATCAGTGCAATATATTTTCTCGGAATTCCCTTTACAGCCAAGCATCTCCAGAGAACTTCTCGATCGACAGAGTCGAATGCTGCCTTTAGGTCAAGAAATATAATGACTGTTGGACACCGGTAGGAATGCCTATGTTCTAGAATCTGTCGGAGGGTGAAGATATGATCAATACACCCTCTTCCTGGTCTAAAGCCTGCCTGGCTCTCTCGTGTTTGTGCCTCCCGAGCACCACTCAGTCTACGCATGATTATTGAGCCTAAGACTTTAGATACTATATTAGTCAAGCTAATCCCTCTGTGATTATCACAGGAAGACTTGTCTCCCTTCTTGTATATCGGCTTTCCAAGGCTTTGACTAGATGTATTTATTGCCCAAATTGCATCAATGCGAGAGTTGTAAGTAACTTGTTCGACATCACAATAGATGACAGGTTTGTTGAAGCGGACACTGTGACCCAAAACAGTACCGATAACTCTCAAGCAAGTTGATGAAAGTACAAGTAGTAACAAGTGTAAGGAGGATGAAAAGACAATTCATGTAGAGAAAAAGGATACAGGGATAATGAATCGAATGTTTGTTAGTATGTCATTTATGAAACAGAAGATGATATAAGTAGACAGAGTACATAATTGAAATGAACTTCCCCATTGAATTGTTCCTTATTGTGTGAAGACAGATACTGTTCAAACGCTTAGACTAAATACACGTGACTGTTGGTCTGAATCACACAGAACAGTGTAGACTGACTAGCGAGGGTTTCCAGCATATTAATAAGAACAAGTGGTTACAAAATATCGATAACGCAACCTAAAATCATTCACAATGATGGAAACCCTCACTAGTCACTGTTTATACCTTCCATTAATTAGACTGTTCATCTGTTGCACTATCATTATGTTAATCTCCAATTTCATATGCATTTTCGAAGCATGACAACTCGGACTGTAGCACATTTCTGCAATATTTTTGATTGCATACTAGTCAGTAACTAGTGTAATGTGTCTAGTCCTATCTTCACTGCAGACTGAATTCTATCAGTCAAGCTTGCAATGTGACTACCATGCTAGGTGGCTCGCCATTACGGTGCACTGAATTGTTGGTATTAGATGGTTGGAGGCAATCGGCAGGAAGCCTTGGACCTAGGTTTCATGCTAGTTGGCAATCATCATCAAGGCGTATCTGCAACCTTGAAGGAACTCATGTCCCTTCTGAGATTCGAACCTGCGTCACCCAGTGCTGCAGTCAGAGACGTTACTACTGAGCTATTCGGGCTCGCGATTGACCTCCTGTAGGACTGTAGTGGATATTTTTATTGGACACTAGTAACTTGTGTGACTTGTCTAGTCGTTTCTTTGGTGCAGACTGAATTCTGTCAGTCAGTCAAATTTGCAATGTGGCAACCATTCTAGGTAGTCACACTAGTTACTAGTGTCCAGTGAAGATAGGACTAGACACATTACACTAGTTACTGACTAGTATGCAATCAAAAATATCCAATACAGTCCTACAGGAGGTCAATCGCGAGCCCGAATAGCTCAGTAGTAACGTCTCTGACTGCAGCACTGGGTGACGCAGGTTCGAATCTCAGAAGGGACACGAGTTCCTTCAAGGTTGGAGATACGCCTTGATGATGAGTGCCAACTAACATGAAACCTAGGTCCAAGGCTTCCTGCCGATTGCTCCAACCATCTAATAAATTTCTTCAATCTATGCTGGTGGGTCGTTGTCGCAGCTGCCAATAGATCTCAAAGTAAGCTTACATTATTGATATGAGAAGACATGCCAAACATTCTCAATTTGTCACTCACACGAAGTAAAATGAGTAAACAAAACCACAATAAATGCATTTACTTAAGAATGGAAAACTAGTGGAGTTAGTGCCTGGAAGCTCCTAAAATTACTTCACGGGAAATTTAGTGCATACAGACTCAATACTTCAACAGTTTGTTTTAGTCCCAGTGCTTAAGTAAAGCTACGAAGACACCCATGGACAAGTTGCAGTGTTCTTATATGTTGTAACTTTGGTGACTACGATCGAACTACAAATTACGGCAAAACGAACTTTTATTCAGTACCCGACCTTTCGACTAAAAACTGCAGACTCATAGAAAACAAAGTGAATGATGTCCCTAAGTTGTCATAATCTGCAAAAGTGACGAAGTGAGATGATGCCGTTTTGTGCATAACCTGATGACTGTCTGAGTTTCAACACAGAACTTTGCACAGTCGTGAACCAGTTCAACTTGCCACATTTCCTGTAGCGCACAAAGGTAGAGAAAAGAGAAAAAAATATTCAAAACCACCATATGGAGCGGAAATGTGCGGGAGAAAGAATAGTATCATGAAAAAATAAGATGTTTCAATGAATATCGGATACTACAAAGAGTGAATGCATAAGCTCCATCGAGAACATTCTAATACCACATCACTAATAGTTTCTATCTATTGGTCATCAGCATGCCGAGAGATTCAACAAGGGAGTCTGCATCTCCCTACATAGGTAAGACCAACTGTCAAAGAATTCATGGGTCAACACCAGGTTTTAGTTTAGTCACCACTGACTCTTTTCTAACATAATCCTACATCACCTAATATTCCCCGTCTAGGATGCTGGTGGCTTAGTATGCATAACTTAACGGTAACAAGTATTTCATCGTCTTCAGGTATGGAACCTTTCGAAACTCAACACACTAGCTAAAGGGTAAACAGGATTCCAGACAGTCACAATTACTGCTTCTTTTTAGATTAGTTAATAGGGCTAACCTAAAAGTGCTTGAAACTTCAAACATGACCTGAATCCTAAGGGTAAAATATCGTAGAATGACTAAGAAAAGTACAACTGAGAATTATACACCTTCCATGCATACAGACATGATGATCGACATCATTCCAAACATGTGGATAACAATTTCCAAATATTGAGACACAAAATGACTTCAATGAACTTACCACTTTCCCCACACAACAGAAACATAAACTTGTGGCAAGGGAGCCGATAGTTCTTTATACATTTGGCGAGAAAGTAAAACTATACACAAGAGATGAGCTTCACAATGCAATAAGTAGGTATTGTCTCTGAAAAAAAGGTCACGTTTCGAAATGAAATTACTGTATGGGTAAGTTGGTTACAAGCTTGAAAAGAACAGGAAACAGACATTCGATAACAGATAGACAATGCGGATCTACAGTATGAAGGTTAAGTAAAAGTAGTATTACCTTCTGGTGAAGTTACAGAAAAATGAGCAAAAAACCTAGCTTCAGAAGTGTGCTCCATCAGGTATTTTACTGAGAGGCGGAGAATAAGAAGTCCATTTTGGACGATTAAAATAGTATCCTCGCATCTACGAAACATATTGTTTATAGGTAAAACTTACATGTTGGTGGAGCCCATTAGTTCTGACACCTGTGATATGAGGAACTGGATTAAATTAGGAATGTTATGTGATTGGAGGTTATTCTTTTTAAGATCCCTCAAAAGACTTTTACTTGTCTCTTCGAAGTTCATTAAGGCACTGATAAGAACGATCTGATCAAAACCCAGTAAGACAATGACAAACCTGTTATTTTTTGACGAGCCAAAGGAAGATAAAAAATCATTCCAAAATTCACTGTTTGGCGGTAACTCCTCTGGTCCAACAAACTTTTGTAGTGGTTTATCCTTAGAAACATCAACGAGGCTACTACTACTGGAACCCATTTAGCGTAGTGTTGTACGATTTTGAAGTGCCGCGAAACGACAAGGTCATGCGTTAGTGTGGACAAAGAAATAGTTAGTTGCCATTTAGATAGAAATAAATATTTTTATGATTCTTTTTTTGAAATAAGTGAAAACTTATGGTTGCTTTATTTCCATAATATTTACAGTGAGCGATGCTCACTAAATTTTCGCTCATTATTCACTCGTTAGCAGACGATGTTTGCGCACTTATCAGGAGTTCTTATTTTTCTACAAGTTGCCTACGCTATTGAGAAAAGTCGAGGTGCTTTAGGTCCTCGAATCTTTACCTTTGTTCATGGAGATGAAGCAGCCAAACTTAATTTTTCTGCTGCTGAGGACTACTGCAGAAATTCTATTGGAAAGGATTCAGATTCTGCTGATCAGTTCACCTTTACTGAGAGAAAAAGTTCAAATCATCTGTCTGCACACGCATTATCAAAGAATAAGGATGGTGAATTAGTTCTGGAAACCAGCCTTGCATCCATACATTCTTATCCAGAAAATACTGCCATCATAAAATGGATATCACAAAAAGAAAAAAACTCCTTTTGGATTGGTGGACAAGTCACTAAAACAATGAATGATTTCTTAAGGTCCATTTACGTTCTTCACTGGATTGATGGTAGCAGAAGTGACTTCAGTCTTTTACGTTTACCCAACCCAGAATTAACAACAATGCTTGTTGGTGAACATCGATGTATATCAGTGGACTATAGTTCTGGACAATGGGGAGTTCACTTGTGTTCTGAGAAAAAATACTTTATTTGTTTAACTGTCCCAGTATTATACTCAAACAACACTGTTACCTCTGAGAAAGAGAAAAAATTTTCTTCTCATCTTCAGCCTAAGAAATCTGAGACAGTGGTGTCAGTGACTGGAGACGAACTAAAAAATATATAAAAACCTTCAGTGGTTTTCTAAGTAGGTTGTGAACTCTTTTCCATATCTTATAGCTATAAACTATGTGTTTCCTGAATGTGAGTATTCGCAACCTAAATAAACAAATTTTCTGTTCGAATTTCTATTCTTCTCAGTTTGATTTATGTAGCAAAGGAACATTAGGCATTATATCATGGGATTACCTATTAATTATAAATTACTCAGGTATTAATTATCACTTAGACGAATGCTCTATCCGTATCTTGATTGACAGCACATCACACGGAATTACTTGTAATTAAGACGTGTATAAATTAATTGAATGTATATTGATAAAAGGGTAGAAGGTAAAATAAAATATTTACAAATATTTACAAGTAACAAAATCAAAAGAAGTATGCATATTGAATTATAAGTATTTGAATTAATTCAGTTTTAGTGACAACTCGAAATATTTCTTTCCTTTTGTTACGAATAAATTAGAATTGTGTAGATATCTACAAAGAGGCATATATATATGTATCGTAAGAGAGTTCACTTGTGCTGTGATGAACGATGTCCTTGATCCACCCATTATTTTACTGAAAGAGTTTAATATATCACATTAATTGACAATTCAAATCCTTTGTAACTTGTGATTTTGTTGTCCACATTGTTATTTATACATATAATGACACCGATTCTATCTCTAATCCTAAATTGATAGAAATATTTCTTGGAGGAGTGATGATAATTTATGTTTCAATGTTAAATATACAAAACATAGTTTTTTATTGAATTTGAAAATGTGGTGGAAGATTTATATGGACTTGTTACTCTCCCTCTCTCTCTGTCTCCCACTCTAGCGACACTATATGACGACCATATTTAATTTTACAAATATAAATTGTTATGTGTATAGAGACAATAAACAGAAATTAAGATGAATATCATGGTAGCTATGACACCCGTGACTTAAACCATTGAGCTACTACAAGTGGATATTGTCTGTTTCAAGTTTCATCACGGATTGACATAGATTAGGGAGTGACTAAAAACCACCATGGAGTACTAGAGGTCTGTTTTGCCCTAGTTTGGGACTCATCTGCAGTACACACGCACCCACCCATGGAAAGGGTTCGAACTCAGGACCTTCTAGTTACAAGTCAAACCCACAGACTAGCCCAATTCATGATTTTAATCTGACTGGCACCAGACAATGTCCTCACTCCCTACCGAGTGGACCTTATTGGTCTCTATTGCGTGTAGGCAACTTCGTTTTGTAACCAATCAATCATTAGTAAGCATCTCAGATTAATTTTCATGAGTTTGCTGGTAGGGGTTTGATTTATTTCAAGTTTGTTTAGAAATGTTTTTGCTACCTCAGTTTCCATTTTTTTTCATTTGCCTTGAATTTCCAGTCTGAGTCATTTTTAATGAAAGCAATAGGCTATAAATCAAGGATCCTTTAAGATTTTGTGAAAATATGTCTGTCAGGTTAGACAATACTATCCACGTTTAAACTGATAACTTCCTTTTTTTATTCTGAACACAAATCACTCTGCCTTAAATTCCATTGAAAAATGTCAGGAAAAAAATCGATACACTTAGGTAGTCAGTCAACTTGTTTCGGGCTGATTCATATGTTTCAATATTATCATCTAATTTGAAATATGATTATTGATTTTTCAATGAATATTTCAAACCCTTGAATTTCGCCAATGTGAATTGTACTCACAATGTGACAATCAATCAGTTTATAGACAAAGTAATAAATAAGAAGACGTTATTTTTATTTTTTTATTTTTATTCGTTTAATGTTGTATTTGCGGCACACATTTCGAACAATCTAATCGCACACACGGACTTGTCATAGGAATGTATATGAAATTAATAAAGAATTAAGGGGTGAGAAAATCAATTATTCAGGTCAGGTTAAAAGGATATATTGGTGGACATGAGGCTAGCAACCCCATCCTGTAAAATAAACACTTCTACAGAAATTTCAAGCCACTAGCTTGAAGCCCTGTGTTCCACTGGGGAAAGTGAAGGAAGTAAAAGGATATCTTGCAGGTCAAAGTAACAATGAAGATCTAATTGAATTTTAGATTTTCCCGTTGATTGATTGGACCGAAATGCTCGGTATCAGGTTGACATGTCTGTCGGCTTCTTGTACAGATGCTTCAACGATGTCTGGGCATGTAATTATAAGTAAATTGGTGGATGATGATTAGCAGTGGAACCCAGGATAACGTTCACTTCGTCCTGTTTAGGACCCGTCAGCTGGATGTACCTGATCTGGAGTCTCAGTGGGAATATCATCACTTATTGGGGAATGCAGATACATCCAGGTGATGATCAGTCCCAAATATAAGTATAAAACTTGGGCACTTTGGTAGAGTATAACTCCATTATGGATAAGATTTTATTTTTATTAAGTCACACATTGTTGTACAGTTATATTAACTGATGACGTTTCGAGCACAAACTATTGCTTATAATCATATCAAGTAACTCACACAACCTTATATACATGTGTGGAATCGATTAGATATTGGATTTAAAATCAATGTTAGATAATGTCCATTCAGAAATAATAGTACGAGTGTTACTGATCCATTACAATTATATGAGAAATAGGAATGTTTTATACGAGTGTTTTTTTTATAGTCATAATAACTTACTTGTTAGAATGTCGTGATGTGTTTGAATTGAAATTGAGTTTTAAGATTATTTATTATCCTCTTCTGATTTGAATTGAGGTAATAATATCTTCCATATTTCTGGTATTTGCATTGAGTCGTTTCTGTTGCATGTGTTGGGTGTAGACTCGATAATCAAGGATTCAGTAATCAACCGCTATCTATCTCCACCTAGGAAGAAAAATCTTTCCGTTCTTTGTGCTCCAGAATTCAGAAAATTCGCTCTATAGATGCGGTAAGTACAACACTTCTAAATAATGGATACCCTAGAAGGTTTACTGATGGAAGCATCAAGAAGGACGCGACCTCTAACCAAATCACAGTGCCAAAGAAGACACTGTTTATGATTCCATTATGGGTAAATTTTGTTTTGATAAAGTCTCACAGTGTTATACAGTAATGTTTACTGATAACCCGTTTCGAGCACAATTTATTGCCACTCATAATCATATCAAGGTACTCACACGACTTCCTAACTTCATTTATATAGTTCCATTGTTTTTCTCTTGATTTTCACTTGATTTGATTGGTAATAGTATTTTCCATATTTCAGGTATGAGTGACGAGTCATTCCTATTGCATGTGTTGGGTGTAGACTCGATGAACAAGGATTCAGTAATCAGCACAACTCTCTCTTAAATAGCTATCCTTTAAAATTCTTTAGGAAGATTGAAAAAGGCCAAAAGAAAAAGAAAAATAATTGTGAAACTAGTAATAATAACATAAATAAGAGAGAATATAAGAAGTCATCCACTGTTATACCATATAAAGAGGGGACATCTGAAACCCTACGTTGTGGGATTCTTAATAAATCAGGAATCAGGGTGGCATTTAAACCTACAAACTCACTCAGAGACTAGCTCTGTAGGCTGAAAGTCCCGGTGGACCCAATTAGACAAAATAATATAATTTACAAAATACCCTGCAATGACTATGAGTTAGGTGAACTACATAGGTCGAACTAGTAGGTCAGGGATAGTCAGATTGTCAGAAAATAAGAATTTAGCTAGGGTAAGAATGGTTGACCCTAACCGAGAAGGCAGGTAAGTAATTTAGAAAAAAACTCACCAATTGCAATGCATGCATTAACAAACAACCACACAATAGGTTGTGAGAGGATTAAAAGTGTAAAAAGTAATCTAGGTAGGTGGAGATAGATAGCGGTTGATTACTGAATCGTTGATCATCGAGTCTACACCCAACACATGCAATAGGAATGACTCGTCACTCATACCTGAAATATGGAAAATACTATTACCAATCAAATCAAGAGAAAAACAATGGAACTATATAAATGAAGTTAGGAAGTCGTGTGATTACCTTGATATGATTATGAGTGGCAATAAACTGTGTTCGAAACGGGGTTATCAGTAAACATTACTGTATAACACTGTGAGACTTTATCAAAACAAAATTTACCCATAATGGAATCATAAACAGTGTCTTCTTTGGCACTATGATGTGGTTAGAGATCGCGT